TGGTATCCAGGGTGGAAGGGGTAGGGACAATATTTAAATAAAACAATTACAAAAAAGTGTATAAACTACTTCGCAATCGAAAAATTGTCGGGCATTTAACTATATTTTTTGTATTAAAACTAAGGTTCGATAGTTCATTTTTCATGACATTTTAGGCCCATGGACGGGACACTACGTTAGTGCGGCAGTCGTCAACATAAAACGTCAAAGTTTGTAAATCGACCTTAATGGTCTACAAAAATAAAAGTACAGCCTAAATTTTGTTTTATATTAATTTGGAATGGTAGTTTTACTAACTTATTTTTTTCTGTTTATTAATTAATTTATTATTAAGACCTGATCCCCTGCCCTGGTAGAAAAGTATTGCCATAATAGGATTTATATTTTATAAACAGGCATGTCTTTGAGGTCAAAGAAATTGGTGGCTATGGCGCTGCATAAAACTGAATCAGATCGATCATCAAATGAGCAGAAGTTATTGCCCCTTTATACCGAAGATGACATCCAAATAGGTGTTCTGGAACCATTATCGCGTTGCCCCATACAAGATTCATCAAGTAGGAAATGTCACGGAGAAATTAAACCAAAGCAAAAAAATACTGACGGGTGCTTTTTGAAAGTGTCATCTCATTGTGATGGTTTTTCTATTCAGCCTAGTATTGAAAATGAGCGCGTTGAAGTAGTTTTTTACACAAATAATGATGCATATCCTACCGACATTGTTACTGACACCGATGTTATAAACGATTGCGGCGACTCCAATAAAAATGACTCGTTGGCTGACACAGCTGATGTTTCAGCTGGTACTATAATAAACAATTATAATTTTGAACTATCCACGACAGAAGACCCTATTGCAAATGATAATAGTAAGTTTCATCTCAAGTAATTTAGAATTATTGTATGTAGAACTGAGATTATTTTTTAGACCAACAGCAAGAAACAGAATTAGATTCCAACGGCTATATTTTAGAGGCTGATGACCTAGCCAACAAAATATTAATATTACCAGAACTGGAAGATCAAACATTAGTTGAACCTATTGAACCTATTATTCCATCCGATGCAATAGAAAATAATGCCGATCAAGGTTTTTTGTTTTTTCTTTGTCTTCTTCAACCTTTATTAAATGAAATTTTATTTTACAGGTGATGAAAAGTACACGAAAAAAGGGAAAATTAGAAAACGGAAGAGTTTCAACATATCGGTGGACCAAAGGAAAAAAATTAAATGCTCAGAGATACAACAAAAACATAAAGTTCAAATACCATGTGACGCCAATAAATGCCAAAAGAAATGCTCAGAGAAGATCGATCAAGATAGACGAGTAGCAATAAATAAAATGTATTGGAATCTAGATTGGGTAGCTAAAAAAACATACATCCTTAATTCTGTCAACAGAGCCCCGATAAAAAGAAGACGCTCAGATTCTTCAACAAAACAAAATAGCTTTAAGTACTTTCTAAAAGATTCTGATGGTGAAACACAAAATGTCTGTAAGATATTTTTTTTGACGACCCTCGGATATAAAAAAAACAACGATTGGGCCATCCAAAGCTTTGTACAACAAGATTTTTTTAAAAATGGAAAAATCGCTCCCCTGGCTGACAAACGTGGTAGGAATGCGTCCAAGTTTAAAATATCTACCGAAGATATCGAAAAGCATATAGAAACATTTAATCCAGTAATTTCACATTACCGGAGAGAGCATGCTCCGCATCGCCGCTACCTGCCGAGTGATTTAACCATTGATGCAATGTATACGAACTTCCTGGAGACTCATCCTGATAAGAAATGTTCATATGAGGTTTACAGGAAAGTGGTTAAAAGCAAGAACATCTCGTTTACGAAGTTGGGCCACGAGGAATGTGAGCTCTGCGAAGGATTTCACTTACATGATGCTCTACATAATGAAACAAACTTGGACAGAAACTGTGAAGTATGCCAAAAATGGGAAGTGCACATTAACAGGGCAAAAAGGTCTAGAGAATTATACAGAAAAGAATGCGAATCAGTTTGTGAACCAAACACGTTAAGAGTTTCAGCTGATCTTGAAAAAGTAATAATGATTCCTCGGATTGATATGTTTAAAAAAGTTGTCTTCACTCAAAGAATAGTCGTATATAATGAAAGTTTTGTGCCATTAAAAACGCTGAAGAACAATAAGCCATTTGCAGCATTGTGGCACGAAGGAATATCAGGCAGAAGCAAGGAAGCAATTATTAGTACGTTCTTTTCATTTATGTTGCACAATCGTGATGTGGAGCATTTTGTGTTTTGGTTGGACAACTGTTCTTCGCAAAACAAAAATTGGGCGTTTCTTTCATTTTTAATGTTCATAATAAATTCCGACAAAATAGCTGCTAAGGATATTATCATAAATTACTTCGAGCCTGGCCATACTTTTATGTCCGCCGACAGTTTCCACCATCAGGTGGAACTATCGCTGAAGAAAGCAAAAAAAGTTTACGACTTTCATGATTTCGTTGAAGCAGTTCAAACCAGTAACTCGAAGCGTGTTACAGTTAAAGAAATGGCAGTTGCTGATTTTTTCGACTGGAAAGACTATTCTTCACAGGCAAAATTGAAAAAAATTGAGCCACGAGTTTACCTGTCGCAAGTAGTTAAGGTAATGGTCCAGAGAGGAAGCGATACTTTGAAAGTTGAGACGGATGATACTGGGGAGTTGAAACAAATAGATTTTTTACAAGTTAGAGCAATAAAGTCTGGGATAAAAGAACCCGCAGTCATGAAGAAACCCTCTGGAATTCCCAAAAGTAGAAAAGAACACATTCTGAAAAATTTAGGGGAAATTATACCAGCAAACCGGCATAATTTTTGGCGAGAATTGCCCACTTCCGATGAGCAGTAACTACATTTTTTTAATTTTAATTCGTTTCATTTTACTCATTTAGTATCGTTTTTTTTGTGATTTTTAAAATAATTTTTTTTAAGTATGTATTAATAAATTGATTATTGAATAAAATAATTTTTAGGACAATACAAAAATAAAGCAGTATATAAGAAAAAAATGTTCATCTCTCAGCTATGAATTTTATAATATTTACATAGTAAAAATCACGCTTCAGCCAAATTTGTATTATACGTGGTTTTAACTAAATAAATTCGGTTTCACTTTTAGCACTCTTAACCCGTATATAACATAACTAATATTCATAGCTTAGTTTCGCATTTTTTTTTTCTTAGAAACGTTAACTTTGAGTTAACAAATGATATCTCAAATCATGTTATTGTATTTATTTAGAAAGAACTTAATAGAACCAACGAAAAACTTTAAGCGCGGTTTTCTCAAAACTTGCGTTACTGGAGATACCAGGGTCTTTCTTAATGGGGCAGTATAGATATTTACTATAAACTTTCAACTTTCAAACTTTTTATCGGTATAACCGCCTGCACCCACATATAGAAAAAATCCTCCCAGAATCGCAAACGGGTTTTCGCACCAACCGCGGTACCGTCGATTCCATATTCTCCATCCGGCAACTACAGGAAAAAGTAAAAGAGCAGCAGTCTAAACTTTACGTTGCATTCGTCCATCTAACAAAAGCATTCGACTCTGTGAATAGAGATGCACTTTGGGCAATTATGGAAAAGTTCGGAGTACCCAACAAATTTCTTACAGTGTGTAAAAGCCTCCATAACAACAACAAATCAAGAGTGTCATATCATGGATCACTGAGCGATCCCATCCTAACAAACACAGGCGTTAGGCAGGGATCTATCTTAGCGCCTCTCCTATTCAATACATTCATGGCAGCTCTCTCCATTATAGTGGACAGCAAACTGCAGGAGAGAGGTTTGGGCATTAGATCTGGCGGTCTGTTCAACATAAAAAGACTCAGGGCAAAAACACGTACAAAATTCATCACAGAACTTCAATACGCTGATGACTGTGCTCTAGTTGCAAAAACGTTACAGCAATTGAAGAAATGTTGAACACATATACATGGGCATACGAGGCCTTGGGACTTAAGCTGAACATCGATAAAACTAAAATTATGTGCACTCCCCCAGAAGATCACAACAATGCTATAAAAATCGGAGATAAGCTGTTGGAATATGTAGCGGAATTCAATTACTTCGGCAGTTTGATTTCGGAAAAGGCCAATATCGACTCTGAAATTCAGCACAGGATTAGCAGCGCCTCAAGAGCATTCTGGAAATTAAAAGACAGGGTTTTCTACAATCATGACTTGAGCACAAAAACGAAACTTGCAGTGTACCGAGCGATAATAATTCCCACCATGTTATATGGAAGCGAAACCTGGGTGCCCTACCGCCGACACATGAACTCTTAAGAATAAAATGGTTCCATCATGTCTCAAACGTATCGGTCCTTGAAAAAGCTAACTGCGAGAGTATTGAAGTCATGATTACAAAGTCCCGCTTAAGATGGGCTGGTCACGTATCCAGAATGCAAGAAAACCGCATACCAAAATCTCTGCTTTACGGTGAGCTTGTAGACGGTAAGAGGAGGCCGGGTGGACAACTCAAAAGGTTCAAGGATATTTTCCACGAAAACTTAAAAGGAATTAACAAGCAGAATAAGTGGGAAGGGACAGCTCACAATAGAACGGAATGGAGAAGAATTGTAAAGTCAGTTAACAGCGAGAACCAAAAAGTAAAGAGGCAGCGAAGCAATGAGATTTTTGAATGTCGGGAGTGCGGTAGACAGATAACATCACGTATCGGGCTTTTCAGTCACAGAAAAGCTCATGAAAGAAAACTCCTTGCGTGACCATCTTCTGATGCGTGTCAAATACTCGTCAGCGAGTAATGGCGGTATAAACTTTCAAAATATTTTTGAATCTTAATTTAATTTTTTTTATTCTTTGACATTGTAAACATTTATAAATGTTTATTTTAAACAATAAGTCTGATAATGTAATTTGTATACTTGTTTTGTATTCTTTTTTGTTTGTTTCTTTACCTTTACAAATTGTAAAATTTTTTGACAATAAAGGCATTTATTTATTTATTTATTTATACACCAACTGAACGTCGTTTTTTTTTCTCGATCATACGCTGTCATTTACTAAATTTAACTTTCTCATAAATACAACTTAAAAGATTCACGTTTTTTTCATCTACCATTCGGTAGAATACTTCTTGTTTTTGGCTTTTGTCCCCATTCGCTAAGTCGCTCAGTTCCTTGCTTGCATATCTCCTCAGTTGACGTTGTAGCATTTCTGTATTGTCCAGAAACATCCTCACTGCTTGAAACCTGGCTTCCCACAATACTTCTTTAAACAAGACTTGTCGTACTTCAGGCCGTTCCATGTTGAGGCAGAGGTAGTTTCCCAGGAAGTACTCTCCGAAGCTTTGGTGGACGAACCTGAACGATCTGTCTGAAGTCTTATTAACTACTACCAATCCAATCCGATGTAAGTCAGTTTTGAATTGTTCAAAACTTTCACGTAGTTTGTCGCTGGGTCCTTTTACGGAAAAGAAACTTTCAAAAGCTATGTCTTGATGGAGTATAATCATCAATTTTTCATCTCTACTTCTCATTTCCTCTGCTCCGGCTGATCTCCCTGCCACGCTCTTCTCGGTGTAGTATATTCTGAACTTTTCCTCAATAAAAATCTTGTATAAACTCGACAGCTCAAAGTTTTCGGGCAACTCTCCACTGCGCCACACCATAACATCCGTCAGCATTTTCAACTGCAACGGTACACCGTTGAAATCCACCTGAATTCCACCCCACAGTCTTTGGTAGATGACGGTTTTTATTCTGTCGTAGGCTTCATCGAAGTCTGCATCGGACTTTCCACTTTTCCTCCATACCTTCTTCATGAAATTAAGTTTCTGAGTTTCGGAGAAAGGGTTCAGATGATACGCTACACTTTCTAGGTCTCTCTCCAGGCTGGACTGTTCGTGTCGTCTGGAGGTGACCCAGATATATTCAGCGCGACTTTTCTTCAATGCCTGCAGTAAAATTAAGGTATTCTCTTTGTAATTTGGGCTAATTTCATCGAAACCGTCGAATAACAGCGCTACTTTGGGATACTTATAATCCAGATTTACTTGATTTAGAGCAAACTCCAAGAACCTCTTCTGAAAACAAGTCCTCCTCTTGTCTGCGGCAACAGGATATACCATATCAGTTAGAAACCTTACTGCTTCTTTCATATTGTCTCTATCAAAGTTGATTTCTTGTAAGGACTTCTCCAAAACGTTTTTGTTTAGAGCGCTGTTTGGATTAAAACCATAGTCATTTAAATTCATCTTTAAAACCCAGAGCATAGGATTAAGCTTTTTGAAATTGTAAGCTAGACTTCCAATCAGAGCTGATTTTCCTAAACCGGGATTATCGGCAACTATATTAGTTCTTTTCTTGTAATCGCTCACTACACTGCACAAGTAGTTTTCGTTTATATGATCCGAAAAACATTTATTAGATACATACGGATAGATCTTCCTCATATTGCCCTTGCAGTCATCCAGGAAGAGATATTTGTTACTATATTCAAAGAAAAACATGTCAGTTTCAGAGTTTAGGTAAAGCTGATCAATATCATTTCGATCTGTGCCATTGGGTATCAAAATCAAGCCTACCGTATATCGTATCCTTGGATTCCATTCATGTATAGATTTTTGTTTAATAGCTTTTAAGTTATCGTCGTCTCTCCTTTGTATATCTCGAACAAAGAACAAACTCGTGCTGATTAAGTTTTCGTTGAGTATATCTAAATCTGCAACTTGCCGATATAGAGTTCTGGTTTCGTACATATCCTTATCGAAAGAATCGAATTTGGAAACTTTAACTGGCTCTATCTCAATTTCATCTTGTAACAAAAGCATTTCGATCGTCTCCAGGTCCAAAACCTCCTCGGCAGCTTTGATGTTTATCAGTTTGTTTATTTTTGTCAATTCATCTTGAAACATTATAAATTTTTCGAGCATAGTTTCCTTAGATTTGATATCAAAGTGACTGAAACTGTTTAAATCTTTTACTTCATCATATTCTAAACCTTCCGATCTCATCTCAGTTAATTTTGTGAATAATACATGATCCTCGTTCGATATTAATATTAATTTTTTAAGTTTACGCGATGAATCATTTTCCTTGTCCTCTCTGTTTTCTTCTAATATTTCATCTAAGTTGTTTATCAGATCCGCTAAAGTATCTTGGTTAATAGGAGTATCTTTCTGACATTCAATTACAAATAAATGATGACTCTCCTTGGAAGCAAAAGCCTCGCATGCTAGATTCTGCAGATTTCCCACTAACATTTCTTCCAGTCGAACAAAGATACATTTATCGTGGGTTTCCAAGTAGTCATGAAATTTTAAACACTGAGCAACCTTTATTGAACTTAGTAGCGTAGAATCAGTAATAATGTGCATGACTTGGACGTTCTTTTCGGGATTTTCTGCAAGAAATCTACTTAATACATCAAAATTTCTATTAAAGCTCACTGCATAGTTGTGTAGAGTTTCTGGTCGAGCTTTGGATAAACCGGAAGTCATCAGTGACCGTATATTCTCTCCGATTTTTTTGAAGAACTTATCTCCTTCCTCTTTGACTAAATAAGAACTGCTACCGTCTTTGTACTCAGCAAACCAGCGATGTACTTCTTCTTGGAAGCTATTTGTAGCAAAATACGGGTTTAGAAGTTTAACCTCTTCACCTATTTCTTTGTTTATCAACTTGTGAAGCTCGTCTTTGTTCGGGTATTCAAGCATAAACCTGAATTTATCGAAAAACTCATCCAAATCCTCAATTGTTGGCTGAATTTCATTACTATCATATCTTTTATGATAAGCATCTAGGAGTTCTTGTTTAGATTCAATAGTGAGTTTATATTTTTTGCATTTTCGGCCTCTGAATTCTAAAATAGGGTCTCGAACAGTCGTCTGGTCTAACTCCAAGTGCTTCATAGCTTCCTCGTTGAAATTATGGTTTGCACAAAGAATGAAACTGTCTAGACGAGCTCCTTCAAACGTCTCGCATCTTTTAATTTTGCAGTACGATCTCAAGTACTTTACTAAAGCCATGCCGTGCAAAGTTTTTGATGAATTAAATATGTTGGTTTTTGTCACGATGTTATTTTCTTCATCTAGAGTGTGTTTAGCTTGTAGAAATCTCCAAACCCACTCATTTGATTCGTCTTGGTACAGTAGTACCACGTCATCGAAAACTTCGGCTGCTTTCATCTCGGTGGCGATGTAGAACTGCCTGTTCTTGTAGAGCTTTAGAGCTCTATGCAAATAGAGCATCAGCAATCTCAGTTGAAAAATGTCCCCGTGTAAGGAAGTCTTTAAAGTTCCTGTCTTGAATCTCGGGATTTCTGCTGGATTTTTCGATGGTTCCTGTTCCGTTACAGTACAAATTATCGGTGATTGATCTAGATTAAATTTGATGATAGTAGTTGAAACTGGATGCCTAGGTGCTGTTGACACTCTGGCCTTTTTGACACCATCAATTTGAGACTTTTTGCTTCCACCAGGTTTAGGGTTTTTTGGCATGTTTAAGATTTGGTATTATTGAGCTCTAAAAATAATTTAATTAAATACATAGGGTGTACATCATTTTTTATACAGCGTATGCGAGGAATAGTAGGGCACATTTTGTAAATATTTAAGTATACAGGGTGATTGAAATATATTTTTAGTGAAATCGTATTTTCTGATCGAATGCTATAAGAGCCGTCCGAACTGTATTCCGGAAACTTCGGTAGTATATTCTGCAGATAAAAATAAGTAAAAAAGTTTGTATAAATGTATGTCCTAAAATGATTGGTTTCGGGAATACAGGATGTAGAAGTTTCAGTTTTATTTAGGTTTTTTCCAAATAATTTCTGAAGTAACGTCAATATTTGGATGAAAATTGGTGTCTGGGAGTTTTTTGACATGAGAAATTTGATTTTGATGTCAATATGACTCCTACTCGTAGATGCCGCCACCTATATATTTTTTTTACTGTTTTTTTTTTACTGGTTTGAACAGTAATAAATAATAAATTTGTCCGTACCTGTATAAAACTACTGAGTAAAAAATACACATTTACGACATTTTTTACGTAAAAAATGTATCTTGATAAAAATTGCTACGTGTAATGGTTCTCGAGATATTTGGAATCGAAATTATCAATACCTGTTGTCCCTGACATATAAATTAAACATATTATACTTAGAATGTCATGTATTGACTATTTTCATTCTAAATATCTTGAGAACGGTTGCTTGTAGCGATTTTTATCAAGAGACAATTTTTTACGTAAAAAGTCACGGAAATGTATATTTTTCACCCAGTACTTTTATACAGAACGGTTAGTTATTACTCTTCAAAACTGTTAAAACACATGTAGGTAGCACCCCCTACAAATAGACCATATTGACATCAAAATTAAATTTCTCATGTCAAAAAACTCCCAGATGACTCCCAGTCACCAATTTTTATCTAAATATTGACGTTACTTCGGAAATTATTTGGAAAAAATCGAAATAAAAATGAAACTTCTACACCCTGTATCTCCGAAACTAAGCGTTTTGGGACATATACAGGGTGGCGCACCTCATTCGCCTCGGTTGATTATACGAAAACGGAAAGATGTAGAAGTAAAATATTTTATGAGTGTATGTGGGGAGACAATGTGCACAATTTAAAATTATTTTGAAACATACAGGGTGTTTCAGAACTAAGATCCATACCAAAGTTATATTTTTTCTTATGGAACACCCGGTATTTTATTTCATTTTTGAATTCTTGGGTACAAAAAGAGGCATTTATTATAAGGGTTAAATATGTTTAAAATCTTTGGTTTTTGAGATATTTAAAAATATTTAAATTTGCATGCTACAATAGAATAGATTATTAACACCCTGTACATTACTTTTCAGCATTAATTCTTGTGCTGAGTTTAAAGATAGAGAAATAAACTTTACAGAAAAATGTTATTGCTTTCTTAAGTTTATACAGGGGTATCAAAAATTTCCGATTTATTTTAAGAATTTATTTTACATAAAAACTTCGTTATTTCAAATTCAACACCCTGTATTTTTTTTAAATAAATCGAAGCAGATTCAAATGCTCTTTCAAACTATATTAGGGTTTCCTATACCGATCTGGCTCAGATTTTGAATAAAGATCAAGTTTTCAATAAAATTGCAACCAAGAGGGCTAGCGTCGTCATGACGTCATGGCAAGTTTCTAGTGACAGTAGCTATTTTCAAAATCGAATTTAGTTTATGGACTTATTTAAATTTATACCAGTTTACTTTTATTTAATTTACCTACAATAGTTTAATAAATAATATTTATTAAATGTGTATTTATTATTCTATCAAGGGAAACGAAGAAGTAGTTCTTTGATTTATTTTACAATTACTTGTAGATATATGGATTTTCTATAAAACAGCCAATTACGGCAAATTCATTTTCTTCACTTCCAACGACAAGTTTCTGCCTAATAGGTTATTTATAAACCACACTACCAGCTCTGCGAAATAATAGGACAAGTACTTTTTCAAAGGAACGCTTATCAGGAAGATTTCTATTTAGATATCTTTTTGGTTAAATAATATACAGAATGTCGCATTTAAAAAAATTGAGATATACCATTTTAAATATTGCGATTTTGGTGACGCCATAAAAAATACCCAATATAGAATAATGTATATAGAATGATGTAAAATAATAAAAAAAAATCAAACTAACTTTACCATAACTTTTTTTGTGACACCCTGTATATAACAAAATATTTTAGGATACACCCTTTTATAAACCTTGAAACATATGAATAAAACTTTTTTCAGATCTTCAACAACGACGACGATATTGAACTTCCTCGCACTAATGGGCCACCCTGTATATTTATGGTGGTTTAAAGCTAGGTGTGGCACTTTTCTTGCCTCAAATATAAACTCAATATTTTGTCTATAATATTTTGAATATTGTTATATTACGACCACTTATAATAAAAAATAAATAAAAAAAAACATAAAAAAATACAGTCCACTAAATTTATAAGAGATTATGCTATTATAAAATTCTTTCAATTAAAAAATATGAATAATTTGCGGAGACTTTAGATGTACAAAATATTTACTCTAAACTTGTTTCAAAAACCAATTTATATAAATTATCTCGTAAATTATTATTGGAATGAAAATTTTATGGAAAATCTTCTGACCAAAAAATATTTTCATGCGCATATTTGAGACAACCTGTATCTAAAAAACTATTTTTAAAATCTGCCCACATGCTAAAAAAAATAATAACATTTAATTAATTACATAATATCTCAGCTTCTAAAATAAACAAATATAATTAAATGTTAATTGATAATTACTATCAGCTTGCCGATTTACATCCGATGGAAATCTAAAAAGACTCAAAGAACAATTTTTTGAATTATTTCCACAATTAATAGCAGCGCACAGTAAGGCACTCATTTTTTGTCAATCCGTCCCTGTGCTCGGACGCAACGCTCGAACCTCACAACTCGACGGACCGAATTCAACTGAAACGCTTTGCAATCTGCCGATATTCGACAGATTGCAAAAACTGGCAGAAAATATTTGCGAGAGTGCAACTACTCTTTTCCTTAAACTATGATAAAACTTTCTGCCTGCGAAGCATTTTTCCGAGACGTTCGTTTTAAAGCAGCGTATCTCCAATAAAAAGAGAGATAATGTCATGATTAAAAAAATAAAATGCTCATAAAAGTTGAGGCTACAATGTAATTTGATTTAGCAATAGCTACTACCGCTGCTGCACCCTACAGTGTATTACAAAGTTCGGGCAAAAAACTTCGTCTTATTGTTGTGCCCTGTATATGCTCAAAATAAATTCGGAATAAAAATTGCTGACGTAGCATCCCTTAAGAAGGAATTAATTTACAATTTAAAAAAAATCATCAAAATCTAATGAGTGGTTCGCGAGAAATCCAACTTTGAAATTGGGACTAGTTTTTAGTGACCGGTTTTTTTTGCCGGTGAGTTTATTATATTAAAAAATTAAATAATTACCTTATTTTTCCTCCCCCACAAACTCGGTTCCAATATTTAATTCTGTAACTTCTGACTCGAGAATGTCTAATTATTTTTAGCAAATATTATGTCAATATAACACATAACAACAATTTTATTAAACAGTGCATTATATTTATCCTGCAAACGATAAGCATGTCTCAGGAAGCATTCGATAAGATTACATATATCTAATTTTATTGTGAGTCAGTTGAATTATTTATAATATAATAAATGCGATATTAAAACCACAATAATATACAGGGTGGCGCAACTCATTCGCCTCGGTTGATTATACGAAAACGGACAGATGTATAATAGAAACAAAATATTTTATGGGTATAGGTGGGATAGGTGCATAATTTAAAATTATTTTGAAATGTACAGGGTGTGTCAGAACTCAGATCCATACCAAAGTTATATTTTTTCTTATGGAACACACCAGGTATTTTATTTTATTTTTGGATTCTTGGACATTAAATAAGGCATTTATTATAAGGGTTTAATAGGTTTACAAGCTTTGGTTCTTGAGATATTTCAGAATTAATTCTTGTGCTGACTTTCAAGCCAGAGAAATAAATTTTATTAAAAAAAATTGATTGCTTCCTTAAGCAATAGAGGGGTTTCAAAAATTGCTGATCTATTTTAAATATTTATTTTACATAAAAACCAAAAACTTCGTTATTTCAAATGCAACACTATGTATTTTTTAGTTTAATTATATCGGAATTCTACCCTTTCTTCAAACATTTCTCATTAAAATAGTTTTTTTGGGTTAATAGTAGTAGTATATTAGTTTAATGGCCACAGCTGCCAGGGCTATCCGGCCGGATGGTAGAATTAACTACCTACGGTTGAGCGTTTATATAGATGATGACACACAGACGAGGATCGCTATAAAGCAAGCCTGGGGTGCAACTTTGTTCATGTTTCAAAGCGATAGCAAAGTAATTTGTAGCTTGATGCACTATGTTCAGTAGCAACATCGATTCGTAGCGATATTCTGATTTCTCGCTTTGTGGCGAGGCTACAGTCTAGACACGTGTGCAAGAGTGTGATAGTGATACCATATTTCGCAGCATTTGAGCGACAATAGTTTTGCAATGAACATAGTATCGATCTGGTTTTGACATCGCTTCTAAACGATCGCTTGCTAACTTGAACAAAGTTGCACCCCTGGGAAATCCCATACCCCGACTGTTGAATTGAAGAAAATGTTGGCAAAGGAAGATCCTGCAAAATAAACAAATTTAATAACAATTTCATTTAAAATGTCAAAGATTAATTCCACAACTATCTAAGAATTCGCCTATAATATTAACTACAATTGGATGAGCATGCAAAGCGGAGGTAAAATTATGAGGGGATGTTTGATAAAGAGATAAAGATTTAAATTTATTGCATTCAAAAAAGATGTGGTTTAACGTTCCAATTTCTCCACACTCACATAAGGAATCTGCATTTACACCTATACGATGTAAATGGGACGGAATTAGACAATGTCCGCTTCTTAATCTGAAGAAGGTTGTCAATCTTTTCCTGGGAAAATCTTTACATGATCTAAACCATATGCTTTTGTAGGGAAAAGTAACAATTTCTGCATAATTTTTCCCTTTTTTACAAGAAATCTCCTTCCATCTGCCTTTCCATAACTATGTATAACTTCTTCTTTTTTTTTCAGGCTGAATGATGCCAAAATGTGTTTTTTTTGCTTAATTTTGTTTGATACAAAAGTAAGCTTTTTTTTGTAATGAACAGGGATTTTGTCGCAATACTATCTAGAGTAACAATACTACTTTAAAATATCAGTCGTCGTATATATTATATCTATTTTTGCTTAATTTTATTATTATTTTTATCTACGTCAGTGAGTTAAGCAGCTCTTAACTCACGCATTTTCATTACCGCACTCCTTGTTTAGATGACTACCAAAGAGAAAAAAAAAAATTTCTAAAACATTTATTTTGCACTAAATACCTACTAAATACAAATAAACTATTCTATTGATTTTAATTATAAAACATGAAAACTTATTTATTATAAATGTTGATGATACAGTTTGAACAATCTTTCAAGTAAATGCCTAATTTTAATAGATATCATAGTAAGTATCATTGAATAGAAAGCCCAAAGAGACGAAGGCTTATAAGTAGCGGATAAATTGGAAAAATAAGTTGTGTACTTTTTTTTCGGTGCGCCATTTTTCATACTTAGAATATGTATATTCATACTTCTGTTTCGATCTTGCTGGAAGCAATCCAGAAATGGCTCTAAATGTCCCTTCTTCAATGTCAGACGGAATACTTTCCCAATCGCTCATTTTTTAAACTAGCGACATCAATATTATTTACTGTCATGTTGACAATGCCATGCATGGTGTTATTTGAACAAAGGTATTAAGGTAATAGATTTTTAGGATAGGTATATAGTTAAGTAACAATAATTTTTAAAATTCATTGTGTGTTTTTATGGTTAGAGGTAGATAAAATATTGTACAATACACGCGAGTTAACTCCATTAAGATACTTGTGTGGTTACACAACTCTCTATCTTAATGATGCTCTTAACTCACTTGTATCTTAAATATCTATTATTTCTACTTAAATATACTCCTTGTTTACTTCATAACTTTATAATCCATTTTGTAATATATCTCTAACATCAATTGACAAGGTTTTCTATTTGAGCGCTACTTATCCTTGAAGCTTCCATAATACAACGTACAATGTTGCCGTTTTCTTCTTCAATCAATCGGTAGAGTAGTTGATCTCTTTGATTTGCTTCCCTATTCGCCAAGCCTCTGAGTTCTATAATTGCAAATTCTCTTAATTGATTACTTAGATTTTCTGTATTGTCCAGAAACTTTCGCAATGCTTGAAACCTCTCCTCGAACAATACTTCCTCGAACAGGACTTTCCGTACTTCAGGCCGATCCATGTGAAAGCAGAGGTAGTTCGCCAGGAAGTACTCCCCGAAGCTTTGATGGACGAATCTGAACGTTCCGTCTGAAATCGCGTTTACTACTACTAATCCGATCCGGTGCAGGTCAGTTTTGGAATGTTCGAACCTTTGTCTCAGTTTGTCACTAGGTCCCCTTACAGCGAAGAAGCTTTCATAAGCTATATCTTGATGGAGTTCAGTCATCAATATTTCATCTCTACTTCTCATTTCTTTCGCTCCAGCTGACTTGCCTTCCACGTTCTTCTCGGTGTAGTATATTTCAAACTTTTTCTTAATAAAAGTTTTGTATAAAATCGTCAGATCGAAGTTTTCCGGTAACTTTCCGCTATGCATGACATCCGTCAGCATTTTCAATTGCAACGGCACGCCTTTGAAGTCCGCCTCTTTCCCATCCCACAATTTTCGGTAGATACCGTTTTTGATTTTTTCGTAGGCTGTTTCAAAATCAGCATCGGACTTGCCACTTTTCCTCCATACCATTTTCATAAAATTGAGTTTCTGAGTTTCGGTGAAAGGGTTCAGATGGTACGCTACACTTTCTAGGTCTCTCTCCAGGCTGGACTGTTCGTGCCGCCGAGACGTTACCCAGATATATTCAGCGCGACTTTTCTTCAATGCCTGCAATAAAGTTAAGGTATTCTGTTTGTAATAAGGGCTGATTTCATCAAAACCGTCGAATAACAGCGCTACTTTAGGATATTTAAAATCCAGATCGACTTGACGTAGTGCGAACTCCAAGAACCTTTTCTGAAAACAAGTCCTCCTCTTGTCTGCGGCAACAGGATATACCATATCAGTTAGAAACCTGACTGCTTCTTTCATATTGTCTCTATCAAAGTTGATTTCTTGTAAGGACTTCTCCAAAACGTGTTTGTTTTGGGCACTATTAGGATCGAAACCATAGTCATTTAAATTCATTTTTATAACCCACACCATGGGATTAACAATTTTGAAATTGACGGCTAGACTTCCAATCAGAGCCGATTTCCCTAAACCGGGATTGTCAGCAACTATATTAATTCTTTTCTTATAATCGCCCATTGCGCCGCAGACTTTCTTTTCGGTTATCTGATCAGAAAAGTATTCGTTAGACATATACTTATGGATCTTCTCCATGTTGCCCTTGCAGTCGTCTAACAAGAGATGTTTTTCACGATATTCTAAGAAATACATGTCAGTTTCAGAGTTTAGGTAAAGCTGATCAATATCATTCCGATCTGTACCATTAGGTATCAAAATCAAACCTACCTTATATTGTTTACTAGGATTCCAATCATATATCAATTCTTGATTAATTTCTATATATGTTTTGGCGTCTTGATATGGCAGATTTCGAACAAAAAACAAACTCGTGCGGATAAGATTATCGTTTAGTATGTTTAAATTCACAACTTGTCGACATAGAGTCCTGAGTTCGTAAATATCTTTATCATATGAATCGAATTTGGAAACTTTAACTGGCTCTATCTCAATTTCATCTTGTAACAAAAGCATTTCGATCGTCTCCAGGTCCAAAACCTCCTCGGCAGCTTTGATGTTTATCAGTTTGTTTATTTTTGTCAATTCATCTTGAAACATTATAAATTTTTCGAGCATAGTTTCCTTAGATTTGATATCAAAGCATTGAAACTGTTTAATCTTTTTTACTTCACCATATTCTAAACCTTCCGATCTCATTCAGTTAATTTTGTGAATAATACATGATCCTCGTTCGATATTAATATTAATTTTTAAGTATACGTGATGAATCCTTTCCTTGTCCTCTCTGTTTTCTTCTAATATTTCATCTAAGTTTAAGTTTATCGATCCGCTAAAGTATCTTGGTTAATAGGAGTATCTTTCTGACATTCAATAACAAATAAATTATGACTCTCCTTGGAAGCAAAAGCCTCGCATGCTAGATTCTGCAGATTTCCCACTAACATTTCTTCCAGTCGAACAAAGATACATTTATCGTGGGTTTCCAAGTAGTCATGAAATTTTAAACACTGAGCAACCTTTATGGAACTTAGTAGCGTAGAATCAGTAATAATGTGCATGACTTGGACGTTCTTTTCGGGATTTTCAGCAAGAAATCTACTTAATACTTCAAAATTTCTGTTAAAGCTCACTGCATAGTTGTGTAGAGTTTCTGGTCGAGCTTTAGATAAACCGGAAATCATCAGTGATCGTATATTCTCTCCGATTTTTTTGAAGAACTTATCTCCTTCCGCTTTGACTAAATAAGAACTTTTCTTGCCTTCGCTCATGTACTCAGCAAACCAGCGCAGTACCTCATTTTGAAAGCTATTTGTAGCAAAATGCGGGTTCAAAAGTTTAACCTCTTCACCTATTTCTTTGTTTATCAACTTGTGAAGCTCGTCTTTGTCCGGGTATTCAAGCATAAACCTGAATTTGTCGAAAAACTCATTCAAATCTTCAAATGTTGGCTGAATTTCATTACTATCATATCTTTTATGATAAGCATCTAGGAGTTCTTGTTTAGATTTAATAGTGAGTTTATATTTTTTGCATTTTAGGCCTCTGAATTCTAAAATAGGGTCTCGAACATGTCTGGTCTCGAACTTGTCTTGTCTCGAAGTTGTCTGGTCTAACTCCAAGTGCTTCATAGCTTCCTCGCTGAATTTGTGGTTTGCACAAAGAATGAAACTGTCTAGACGAGCTCCTTCAAACGTCTTGCATCTTTTAATTTTGCAGTACGATCTCAAGTACTTTACTAAAGCCATGCCGTGCGAAGTTTCTGATGAATTAAATAGGTTGGCTTTTGTCACGATGTTTTTTTCTACATCTAGAGTGTGTTTAGCTTGTAGAAATCTCCAAACCCACTGACCTGATTGATTTTTGTACTTTAGTACCACGTCATCAAATACTCCTTCTATCATCTCGGTGGCTATGTAGAACTCGCCGTCCTTGTAGAGCTCTCTAGCTCTATGCACGAAGAGCATCAGCAATTTCAGTTGAAAAACGATCCCATGTAAGGAGGTCTTCAGATTTGCTGTCTCGAATCTCGGTATTTTTTCTGGATTTTTCGGTGGTTGCTGTGCTGTTCCAGGAGTTAACCTTCTAGATGGTACTATACAAAATCGAGTGGGGCCCTTGTTTACCTTATTTTGTACCGTGTGTTCCTTTTTGTAGGCATTTTTTTGACGTTTTGAGCCTCTATTAGATTTAGAGGCCTCTGGCTGAAGTTGGCATTGTTGATCTCTAAAAAAATAAGTTAAATTAGTTATACAGGGTGAACCAACGTTCCGAAAAAGCTACAAATCACAGAGCTCATGTGTTCTGGCTTCTGTGTTCCTACTTAGACAAGAAAGTCACCCTTTAACATTGAAAATATTCGTAATATGGAATCTGCAATAATTTTTGTATTTGTAGGTGGTTAAACAATATGTACAGGGTGGGTCAAATTCGACCCTTTTAAATGGAAACGCACGCTAAAGTCAATCTGAAAGTGACGTTTTTCACACACCGTGCGTAAATTTTGTAGTGTGCAATTTTTGCGCACTCTTACTCTTAGTGCACACAACATGTGTCAATTTCTAACCTTTTTAACCTCCAATATTTAGGTGAAACGCCAAACGCAACGCAGCCGTGAGAAAAGTGTCATCATTACATCGCAAATTATTCCACAAAACTGGCAAAAACTGAGTCAGTCTGCTGCTAATTTGTAGTCGTAGAAAAAATAGCGTAAAAAACTCGTTCGAAAACTTCTTTGTACACTCGTTCGACAACAAACTGTCGAACTCGTGTGCAAAACGCCGTTTTCGAAACTCGTTGTTTAATATACTAGTAATCTCCCAAATGCAATGATATGTTACTTACCCAGAAGAGGTAACTGGTTGATTCTCGTCCTCTCTCTTTACAAGACATGGCTTTTTTGGGGAATTCTCTTTGTCGTCCATTTCTTGGTTTGGTCGTTGAAAAGTTGTTTTCCAATTATTCTAACAAATATATCCACATAACACATAAAAGGGATATTCTTCGAAACTGCACTGCAATATTATATTTAGCCGGCAAATGATAACGATGTCTCAAAAACGTTCGAATACCTGATTTGTGCGATTGATAAGATTATCTTTAATTTTATTATATGAGTCACTGGGAATCACTTTTTAAAATTATTTTGACGCATACGGGGTGTTCCAAATTCGATTCTCAATCACCAGCAAACTGGTAGTGTTTTGATGGCAGTACTACCATCTCCGTGAATCATTCTGTATATTCATTGAACGGTTAATATAATAAATAAGACACACATTTTGGGTAGCGTTAAGCCATGTTATTTTTATTATAGTTGAATTGAGATAATTTTTTGGAACGATCATCCACAAAATGATCACAAATTTACAATAAATATTTCTTTACTTCTTTCCTTTTTTCTTCTTATCTTTCTTGCCTTTTTTACCACCACCCTTTTTGTCTTTTCCTTTGCCCTTCTTATCTTTTTTCTCCTTTTTTTCTTCCGCACAATCTTGAGGATCGTACTGCGACTGGCAGCAGACCACGTTTGGCCTCTTCTTAAACCTATCAATGAATTATATTGAAAAATATTAATTCCTATACCGTATGATCGAAAAAGAAAACGGCGTCCAGTTCGCTTAGAAATGAACATCGGTGACATTCCCCGTACCGTGCTGGCAAATGTTACTTTTGGGTCGGCATATACATGTGTGGAAGTAAATCGCATAGGGATCTTATTAAGTCGGAGTGAGAGAAATGCGACCGACCGACACGACGCACGACGGTGAAAGAAGGTACAACGACAAAGAAAATACAGCAGAAATATTAACAAAGTTCTTGAAAAAACTACAATCTATTATTTCTAATAGATTTCGAGATATCGATTTTTGAATTCAGAGTTCTAATAGCGCGACCACTATCGAACACCCACTCAATTCCACTTATTTTTACCAAAAATGCAAGTGTTTCTAGCTTGCACTTAATAAAAATCAAGCTATAGGGAAAATTACAACGACTCGTTAATAAATAAACAAATTAAGTATCATAAGACGTAATTAAATCGTGAAGCTGAACGCATGACGTACACCTTTCCCTAGAACTTTAAGTACTGACTGAGGTACTGATTGGGTCGGCCGCTCGACTACGTCAAATCTGCTATATCCCTTTCCACGTCTCTTAGCAATATGTGCACAGTTTCTCGGTTTATTTCATGTGTTTGGCAACGTGTTTACTGTTCCCTCTTTGTTCGGTACATTATAAAACGCATTGTATTCTTCTTACATACGGAAATCTCGATCCAAGGCTAATCTTTGCCAGCCCTTAGTATAAAATTACGGCGATCTTCACTTCATAGCCATCGCTGACGCCGAATGGTTACTGACGGAAACAGTACTGGGAGAATTTTCAGGTCAGGGGCTTGGAACACCCTCAAAAAGAAAATTCCATTTCTCCAACTCCCAGTGGATGACATACCAAGAATTTACAACTTTGAGAAACACCTCACTGTAGTATTGAGTAATAAAAAGGATTGGAAGAAAGAAACGCTTACTCGGCATATAAAAGACCATACCATCACGTGGTATACTGATGCTTCCAAAACTAAAGCAGGGACAGGGCTAGGAGTATTTGGGCCGAAAACTGAATACTCCGAACCAATGGGCACCTACCCCAGTATCCTTCAGGCAGAAATTTGCGCTATCGAAAGATGCGTACAATTTATCTTAGATAGGAACTATCGAAAACAGGAAATTGCCATTCTATCCGATAGTCAAGCAGCACTTAACGCGATCAACTCAGTAACCATCAATTCGAAGTTGGTCAAAGAATGCCTAGAGAAGCTCAACAAGTTAGGCAAAGAAAATAAAGTCCTCCTACTCTGGGTGCCTGCTCACCAAGGGATGGAAGGCAATGAAAAAGCAAATGATCTAGCTAGAAAAGGAGCGAACACTCCACTAACTGGACCAGAACCGTTCTGTTTTCCAAACGGGAACCAACTGAAAGCGGTACTGAAGAATCTGGAAGACTCCATCCGTAACTTGGAATGGGTGTCCTCCAACGGTCTAAGACACTCGAAAAAGTTCCTTAGAACTTATGACCGAGAAAAATCAAAGGTTTTCCTTGATTTAAGTAAAAACAATCTTCGGATTGTCACGGGGTTTCTAACAGGACACTGTCTCCTCAACGAACACCTCAGTAAGCTGAAACTGAGAAACAACGGCGAATGCAGATTTTGTGGGAAAATGGGGAAACACCAGAACACCTTATCACTGAGTGCGCCGAGACGACGACCATTCGTGCCATGAACCTTGGCACGTCTGATGTCGAGGATGGAGAGCTGGCCTCTGTGGAGCCGTCTCAGATACTGGCTTTTCTTAAAGCCCTGAGACTGTATGATGAGTTATAACTCGTTATAACTCAAGAAAGGGGAACACACAATAGATCTATAAGGTCGCGGTGATTAACTCCCCTCCTAAACATTCTACATTGTACATCGCTGACGCCGTTTTTCCTCCGATCATGGTATAAGTTGGTATAAGTTACATACCTCTCTGGGTGTATAATACCAGCAGGCGGTGTGAACTCGATATCTAGTTCACTATCAGATGAAGATGATTCTTCCATAGACGCTTCACCGTCGCACGCGCAGTAATCCTCTTCCGGCTTCTTGTTTTTCGTTATCTTAAACGTCATTGGCGTGCAATCCATGTAGGGGTCTTCATTTTCAACCTAAAGAAAAAAAACTGAAATTGCAATTATTGCATTGACTATCAAAAGTAAAGGCGAATCTCCACCAAGCCGACAAAACCAAGAATAAAGAAGTAACAATGTATAGTTCGCACAAAATAAAATTTAAGTCGCTTGATTAAGCTTGAGCGTCACAGCGTTGCCCGCTTTTACAGATTTTCTTTTAATCAAAATATTTTAGGAAACAAAAATAAATTAATTATAAATATACAAACAGTTATTATTTTAGTTAGTTTTTTTTCAGTTATTTACATCAACAAAAGTCACCTTCTTAACAGCACTTATAGTCTAAGAGCTGGCAACGTTTTCGAAAAAGACGTCTGGCTCTTTGATATATCTTTTACTATGCTCTCTGGATAAGCATGCGGCCCGGCTGGCTGCCGATACCCGTTGCGTTTACTACTGCGCATCGGAAGAAGATCCTATATTTTTTATTAATTTAGTCCTATAAATTCTAGTATTGAATATAATTCGAACATGTCTCCATAGCACAGTGCGTAGAGTTTCCGACCACGAACCGATGATTCAGAGTTCGAATCCGGGTCAGGTCAAAGACTTTTTTATTTTATTTTCCTTTATATTTTGATAGTAAAGTATTAAATAATTCTGGTAATTTAAAAAAAAAACAAATATTTAATACTTTACTATCATAATATAAACGAAAATAAAATAAAAAAGTCTTTGCCTTGACCCGGATTCGAACTCTGAATCATCGGTTCGTGGTCGGAAACTCTACGCACTGCGCTATGGAGACATGTTCGATTTATATTCAATACTAGAATTTAAAGGACTAATAAAAATATAGGATCCTCTTTCAATGCGCAGTAGAGAACGCAACGTTCACCGGCAGCCAGACTGCTGTTCTAGAGAGCATAGTAAAAGATATATCAAAGAGTAAACATATAAGGGTCGTCGTAACAGTAAGTACGTTCTGTGGCTACGGGGTATCCGTGAGAGGGGAAACGATATTCTCTCGATATTTTTCGTAAAAAAATAGACGACGCGTCCCATCAATAAAAATTCGACAAATTTGCAAGTAGCCAATAAAATGAGTGGGCGGAGCGATTTGCGGTGACGTACTCGTCAAATCCACGTATAAAATATATTGCTGTTTATTTAAATGTTTTTTGTCCGCATTCCTTTCATAGACACAGATCCAGCAGACGCACTTCGAGGGCCATCGTAAAAAAAGATCGTCAGACACTAGCTCTAAATATAACCAGGTAGAAAGTTTAGCTTCCAGTTATTTCAATGTTTACAATATAACGAAGAATCTACAACAGTAATTACTTCTATTTTTATGAATGTTTAAGTTACTTTCTTCATTATTTTTTCAAAATAATGTACCTAGTAGAAATATAGTCTAATGAACCCTGTTTGAAAAACGTTAAATTAAATATAATATTTAAAATACAGTTGTCCTCCTTGTACATGACTACAATACAACTAAAAAAACTAATTTAATAAAAAAAAACAAGTGGTTGTAGAAAAACTTTACATATTATTTTTTTTATTTTTTAACATCGAAACTCAAAGGTATAATAACAGGTATCATACCAACTATAAATAGAGTAGATATGTCATATAAAAATGTTTTGAGTTTTTATTAGAATCGACCCTTGATAAAAAAAAGGGGATTAGATTCAAGTTTACCTTTGATCCAGTCTGTATACTATTTCTTTGGATTTTCAACACGTGTGCAAAAACTACACTAAAACACTATTTGCCGTACCTATAGTCCGATCTCAATCTCAGACTTGAGTCGAACCAAGTCATACTCAAGACTCGAGATTCCGTCTCTGCGCATGCGCAGTTTGCCGCTTTCTTAATCAAGTCTCCTCTATATAGTACGCATTTTTCATCTAAGATCGTGCTCAAGCCTGAGGTCGGCTCAAGTACCGACTATAGGTACGGCAATAGTCAAAATGGTAATGTAAATATCGTACCAACGTGTTCGGGTCTTTGAGCGGGTGCATAGTGACCCAATAGGATCCCTCCTTCTTCTGTATCTGCAACGTGGGCTTGGGTACCACCTTGGGATCGGCACCGTCGTCGAACTGAGTTCCGTCCTTTTTGAAATTGGGCACGTGCATTATTCCCAGACCTTTCGCTTGGCGGTGGGCTCGAATGCGCTGGGCAATTAACTTGGTTAAGGCTCCCGGTCTCCAACCTCTTCTAGGCTGAAAAAAAAAATTATATTCAATTCACCCCTAATTCACACTATTAGTCGAAGAGCCGGCAGCAAAATCATGCAAGAGAATTCAAAGGTGTAATTAACACCTCCAAATTTTTTTTCTGAAGGCTGAAAATTTGTAGGAACATTCGAATGCAGCCGTACAAGAAAAAATAACAGTCAAACCGAGCAGTATGGGGACACAAAACGCTACCTCAAACGCGCTGTCAAAAAAATGTTGTTACTCAAAGTGATTTCTGAAGGCTGAAACTTTGCAAGGTCTTCTTCTTCTTCTGCGTCGAACAAAAAAATATCAAGAGTAGAAAATTGTTTAGAAATAACTGATGATTTTGAAAATAATTTTATTCTAAGAGAAGTCAGTGACGTAGCATTTTTTCTATCAAAAATATTCAATGCAAAACTGGTATGGAGTATGGATAGACGCCACTGTTTAAAGTAAATTAAATTGTTTGTAGAAAAAAAACTTTTTTTAGAAAATTTTACCACACTGTACCTCAAAAGTTAAGACGTTTAGGACACACATTCCTATGAACTTTTAACATAAAACAGTTTTGTGTATCCTTACTTAATGCTTCGAACCTTACTTAATGCTTCGAACACCAAAAATGCCCTCTAAATAACGTTAAAAATGATGTAATAGTATATACCAAGGAGGGAAGTGTTTCATTACTGTCGAGAGATTAACTAAATCTCGAGACAATAATGAAAACTTTCCTCCGAGATTTGTATACTATTTTATTTATTATACAACCACATCATTAATTAAAAAATACGGACAGTATTTTATTTAGAAAAAATACGGACAATGCTAGAATTAAGGGAAAAGACTGACATATCAAAATATCACGAACTCGTCGCTTTTTTGAAACGCCAGAATGTAGGTTTTAAGCCAAAGAAGTCTAGCATTTTTACCTTCAACAAATAAATGTATTAAAATCTTCAATTATTATTATTAATCTTCTTGTTTATTTTTGTTGATGTTAGATAAGTATTTAATAAAGATATTACAAGAATAGGTTGCTTAATTAAATGAGGCGAGAAATAAGAAAAACCGAGTGAGGGAAATGGGAGAGGGAAGAAATGTATATAATTTGACACTTTTAAATTTTTTAAAAGTCAGTATTACATATGTGGTTGTAAATAAATATATAAAAAAACCTACCTTTAAACTCATTATTGGCGTGAATATGTTCCACAACCATCCCATATGAGGTGGAACATTGAACATGGGCACCACGCACTCCCTGTGTCCCATTTTCGTTCCGGGGTAGTTATCGCCCATCGAATATACGAATTTGCCCTTCTTGTTCCTCTTGGGGACTTCTTGCTTCTTCTTCTTGCCTCCTGACGGAACCAAGGCTTTATTGTCCTTACCCGACTCACCTTCTTTCATCTCGCAGTCCGGGTTCTCGCAGGAATCTTCCTTGTCACAGTTGACGTTTTCTTCGCAGACCGTGGTAAAGTTCTGTTGACAAAATTGACTGGTTTAAAAGAATGTATTATAAGAGTTAGTAAAGAGGTATTTCAACAGTATAACCTGTGGTAAACGATGTCTGTCAACAATATGAAAACCATCTCAGTTAAAGTAACTGCCAAGAAACAAAAATAATATGATATTTTAATGACAGATGCATTATATTAGGTTTGTTGTTGAAGACCAAAAGCGAAGGCATGCTTTTAATGCTAAAATTGCTGTAAATCGTTCATCATACAAGCAAATATCTCCAAAAAAAATAAAGTGATTTAACTGACTATTGAAATGATTTAAAAACAAAGTATCAATAAAAGATGCATCTTGTTGATAGCCATGCTGACGCCGTTTTTTCTCGATCATACAGTAATTATTATAACTTATCTATTTCTATATTAAAGTAACGTTTAACATACCAACTCCATGTTCACTGGTACACTTGCTTTTTCAGTTGATCTATCTCTTTTGGTGTTTTCTTCCGTGAGCCTTCTCGATGATCTACTAAAGTTAATCGATTTGGAGGGACATTGAGGATTTTTACAGGAAAATCTAGAGAAAAGAAATAAATAAGAACAAATATATAATATCCCTTTAATCTGTTTGAATATTTGCCTGAGTGGTATGGGTTCGTAGGGACAATTAGGTATCCCGCAGGATGGCAGAGGCTGTGCGTAGGGACACCTAGGGTCGTTGCACACGATAGGTTTCGGCTGTTGTGAATAAGGGCAGCCAGGCTGGTCGCAGATGTTGGGATCTTTTTTAATCCTATCAAAACATAGAAACAAATGTTGTTAGTTCCTAGACTGTTCTTGATGTGATGAGCAAATACAAGACAAAGACCAAGGGAGTTGACCCCAGTTGAGAAGACCAAAAATGTTGCAGATAATAAGTAATCTCCGAAACTACTGCCAGCCAATGTCATTTACGTGTCTTTAGTAAAATTATATTAAACAATGTAAGACTTGCAGCAAGACCAAGATTAAAACTACTTATTAGACTACAAAACCAAGACCAAGATCTTGATCTTGGTCTTGCATTTGCTCGTCTCAACCTCTGATGTTTTTTTTTATTAAAAATTCACTTATTTTATAACCTGGCTTGTCTTTCCGGGCACTCCGGATTGGAACAAATACTGTCGTCGTCCTTATTTTCGCAAGTAAAATCCTCGCCTTCGGCGCCGTTGCCATGTTTCTTGATCTTCATCCCCTTTAGTTCGGCGTATGGACAATCCGGATCCGAGCATATACTACCCGTACTAGAACTAACGTTTTTAATTAAAAAAAGTGTCTTAATAAAACTACATAATAAATTAAGTTAAATTTTCCAATTAAAATTAAAATTCCTCGCCCACACACTCTCTTCTGAGACACCCTGTACAAATGAAGATATTTCCACGAAATACCTTCTAGTACACAATACACATATACAGGGTCCGGCAATAATGCGTGGGGCATCTGTAAATAAAAAATATATATTTTTCAACCTTTCTTAAAAAAATTATTACAAATATACAAATTCTGTTCTGAAACAATTGTGAATAATAGACCCTGTATATAAGGTATATGCCTAATGTCTTATCACTGTGGTGAACCATCATAAGATGGCTAATTAGTAGTTTTCAACTTACCCACAAAAGATATGAAATAGAAAATATGTTTTTAATTTTTTAATTCAAATTAGCAAAATATCACTTAAATAAGATTGAAAAGAAAAGTATTGCTAACCTTTCTCTTCCTGGCTTTTCCTTGTTTTTCACATAGTTACATTCTGGATTGGAACACATGCTTACGTCATCGTAGTTCTTTTTCTCTCTCTTGTCTCTTTTTTTCTTGTGTTTCTTCTTGGATTTGTTAGAGGGGCAATCGGGGTTGTCGCACGTATGTCTGTCTCTATTTCTCTTAGATCTCTATTAAAAAAATTGACATACTTATATGATCGATCACTTTGTACAAAAAGTCCTTTTTATTTATGTGTTTTCCCTGAGAAATTTATCTACAGCAACCAGCAATATTTCTTTCGTCCAAATTTAAATAGACAGGTTATAAAATTTATAAATAAATGCTTTTTTTTAACAAAACGTGACAAAAGTATTAATTTTTGCGACGTATGAACAATACAAAAAAGCCATTTAAAGCCTAGGCATAAAAGCTGCCTAAAAAAAGCTGCCATTTTGCCCAAGCACACAATAACACCGTATGATCGAATAAAAACGGCGTCAGCGATGGCTATGAAATGAAGATCGCTGTCATTTTATATGTAAAATTATATGGGAAATGTCAGGGATTGTCATTTCCCAGCCAACTGGACGCCATTTTTTTCGATCATACGGTATATTATTAAACTAACATAAAGTGTTAAATTCAACGAGTGTAACCATAATTTCTCGATATGTAATTACTTACAGGGTATTACTTTTAAATATTTTTATATTATTTGCAACGTTTGAAATTGTTTGTGAAGTTTGAAAAAAGTATCTTTTTTTGCCTCGTCTCTCGTCTGTAATGTCGTCAAACGTACAGTATCGCTAGAAAAATGATCATTTTTACTCCTAATAAAACAATATACTATTATCCTTTATTATCTAGCATAGACAATATTATTTTTAACAATTTTGATCTTAGTCGTGAATATACCCTTTATACATAAAACTTGCCTTTTTTTCCTTTTTGTTGTACGGGCAATTGGGACTTACGCAATCTTCAAATTCGCCAGTCAAATTTTGAACGTCATTTTCAACACATTTTCCTTCGTTTTTCTTGGAAAAGGGACACTCTGGGTTTTCACATGAATTTTCCTCGTCCGTCTCGCTGCAACCTGTGGAACATCGATTTCCTTCTCTGCGGTTCCTCTAAAGGATAAATTATAATAATATATACCGGGTGCGTCTCAAAAGTGGATCACCCCTATAACTTTTTAATTTTTCCAGATAAAACAACGAGATTTGGTATCTATATATTAGTATAATATAAATTAGGGTTTATTGGCATGTATTCAATTATTGTTTTTGGTCGTTTTCTGCCTCATTAGAAATTTCTACAACTTTTGATTTTTAAATGGCACCTTCGGTATATTTTTACTTTATTCGATAGAAAATGACACTCTCTGAATGGAGAGACACGTCATATGTCAACTTTTGATATTTTCGCTTAAAAAATTCAAATTTTTAATTTCAATCTAAAGTGCCATGGCCGTGTTAAAAATACTAATTTTTAATCAAGGAGCCTTGGAAAAATAGATTGGATCATCTAATGTTTTTCGTGTCGTGTCCTGGCCGGTTAAAAGATGCCCAAATCGTATTTTTAATCATATCTCAATTTTTTCAAATGGAACAAGGGTGGCTTATTAGCATTTTTGGAAAAAGCATTTTTTTACGAATAATTTGGTACCACATACTTGCTATTTCGAGTCAAATTGTCGTTATGAACCGCGATGTTACAATTTCAAATAAACTTGGAATAAACCATATCCGAAAATGTCAAAAGTTGACATATGATATTATAGTACGAGAGTTAGCAACGTCGGAAAAACAAGTATTTTAAAACGTCTGGCTCCTTGATATATCTTTTACTATGCTCTCTGAACAGCATGCGGCCCGTCTGGCTGCCGATACCCGTTGCGTTCACTACTGCGCATCGGAAGAAGATTCTATATTTTTTATTAATTTAGTCCTATAAATTCTAGTATTGAATATAAATCGAACATGTCTCCATAGCGCAGTGCGTAGAGTTTCCGACCACGAACCGATGATATAGAGTTCAAATCCGGGTCAGGACAAAGACTTTTATTTTATTTTCGTTTATATTCTGATAGTAAAGTATTAAATAGTCTTTGCCCTGACCCGGATTTGAACTCTGAATCATCGGTTCGTGGTCGGAAACTCTACGCACTGCGCTACGGAGATATGTAGAGATATTAAATTAATAAAAAATATAGGGTCTTCTTCCGATGCGCAGTAGTGAACGCAACGGGTATCGGCAGCCAGACGGGCCGCATGCTGTTCCAGAAAGCATAGTAAAAGATATATCAAAAAGCCAGACGTCTTAAATACTTTCTCGAAAACGTTGGTAGCTCTTAGACTATGATGAACTATTGTTCGAGATCTACCAGCCCTGAAAAGATTTGCGCCTATTTAAGACACATCCTGTAGAGGTTATGTTTCGAAAGTTTGAAAAACGTAATGAAAATTACGTTGTTCTACCTTCTTATTTCCATTATTGTTTGATGGGCAGTCTGGTTTTTCACAATTATTATCTCCTTCAGATCTTGTATAGTCCTCATCGTTATCTGCAGAGTCTCCCTGGCTTTTATTGGAAAAAGGACATCCGGGAAATTCGCATAAATTTTCTCCTTTACCGGACATATCTTTTGAGTGTCTTTTCTTATCTTTAGGTTTTCTCTAATACATACATACATATAAGAATTAATAAAACAATAGTCTTATTTTTAATTGATAAAATAATAGCACAGATTAGGTATCCTATAAGTATACAGATAAAAATCTTGTCCCTAATTCGTGGTAAGAAAATTGTTTTTTATGACGATGTGCAAACGAGTCAAATTTCCTGTGCGCAAAAATAAACTCGCGTAAAATAACAATTAACAGCGTAATAGAGAGATATCGCTAAACCGAATAGCGTGCATGGACGTTAATAAGGCCAGGTGTTATTTCCTTTACGTGAGGTGGTATTAACTCTCTTCATTTTTTATAGTTACCGGATCGGAAAGAATTCTGTTCGCGTCGCGTCCGCTATTTAAACTTAACCTAACTTTGAATTCAAAACTTTGAAATTGTTTTGTTTACTAGGTATTTTAAAACTAAAGGGCTAAAGTGCTTATTTCCGGTGCTTTATTGTTCAACGTCTGCCAGTGGGTATAGGGCAACAAGCAACAAATTCTCTTAGAAGGGCTAAGTCGTCATCTGCTGTAAACCTAAGCCTCTTTATAGGTTCTTTAATATTGGAAGAGGTGGAATCCATATTTTAGGCCATATTTATTTAATTAAAACTAATCCTAGCTACTTAAATATCAAATTACCTAATAAAACTAAAGTAATAATTCAAAACAATTCAAACATAACCTAAAATAAAAGATCTCGCCGGCTGGCCCCGGTTGTCAAATACCCGCACATGCTCATTTAAGCAATTTTTAAACGCTATTTAGAAATAGCGCTTGGTGTAATTGATCCGCAAATTACATCAGGCGGTAACGTTATTCGTGGGTGTTGCGTTAAAAATTGACTCGCGCATATCGTAACCATGATAAGGTACGCGTAAATACTGCATGACGCTATTCGGTTTTCCGATATCTCTCTAATAACTGTGCCGGTCAGGTGCTGTGCACAATTTTACAGGCCATAAGTGGGCGTGCTATGTGCGCAAACTAGTAACCTAACTAGTGCCCGATTCCGAAAATTGGAACCACGAAAAACAATAAAGAAAAAACAAAGTTTATAATCTGTGGTAATAGTCTTATTTTTAATTAATAAAATAATAGCACAGATTAGGTATCCTATAAGTATACAGATAAAAATCTTGTCCCTAATTCGTGGTAAGAAAATTGTTTTTTATGACGATGTGCAAACGAGTCAAATTTCCGCAAAAATAAACTCGCGTAAAATAACAATTAACAGCGTAATAGAGAGATATCGCTAAACCGAATAGCGTGCATGGACGTTAATAAGGCCAGGTGTTATTTCCTTTACGTGAGATGGTATTAACTCGCTTCATTTTTATAGTTACCGGATCGGAAAGAATTCTGTTCGCGTCGCGTCCGCTATTTAAACTTAACCTAACTTTGAATTCAAAACTTTGAAATTGTTTTGTTTACTAGGTATTTTAAAACTAAAGGGCTAAAATGCTTATTTCCGGTGCTTTATTGTTCAACGTCTGCCAGTGGGTATAGGGCAACAAGCAACAAATTCTCTTAGAAGGGCTAAGTCGTCATCTGCTGTAAACCTAAGCCTCTTTATAGGTTCTTTAATATTGGAAGAGGTGGAATCCATATTTTAGGCCATATTTATTTAATTAAAACTAATCCCAGCTACTTAAATACCAAATTACCTAATGAAACTAAAGTAATAATTCAAAACAATTCAAACATAACCTAAAATAAAAGATCTCGCCGGCCGGCCCCGGTTGTCAAATACCCGCACATGCTCATTTAAGCAATTTTTAAACGTTATTTAGAAATAGCGCTTGGTGTAATTGATCCGCAAATTACATCAGGCGGTAACGTTATTCGTGGGTGTTGCGTTAAAAATTGACTCGCGCATATCGTAACCATGATAAGGTACGCGTAAATACTGCATGACGCTATTCGGTTTTCCGATATCTCTCTAATAACTGTGCCGGTCAGGTGCTGTGCACAATTTTACAGGCCATAAGTGGGCGTGCTATGTGCGCAAACTAGTAACCTAACTAGTGCCCGATTCCGAAAATTGGAACCACGAAAAACAATAAAGAAAAAACAAAGTTTATAATCTGTGGTAATAGTCTTATTTTTAATTAATAAAATAATAGCACAGATTAGATATCCTATAAGTATACAGATAAAAATCTTGTCCCTAATTCGTGGTAAGAAAATTGTTTTTTATGACGATGTGCAAACGAGTCAAATTTCCTGTGCGCAAAAATAAACTCGCGTAAAATAACAATTAACAGCGTAATAGAGAGATATCGCTAAACCGAATAGCGTGCATGGACGTTAATAAGGCCAGGTGTTATTTCCTTTACGTGAGGTGGTATTAACTCTCTTCATTTTTATAGTTACCGGATCGGAAAGAATTCTGTTCGCGTCGCGTCCGCTATTTAAACTTAACCTAACTTTGAATTCAAAACTTTGAAATTGTTTTTGTTTACTAGGTATTTTAAAACTAAAGGGCTAAAGTGCTTATTTCCGGTGCTTTATTGTTCAACGTCTGCCAGTGGGTATAGGGCAACAAGCAACAAATTCTCTTAGAAGGGCTAAGTCGTCATCTGCTGTAAACCTAAGCCTCTTTATAGGTTCTTTAATATTGGAAGAGGTGGAATCCATATTTTAGGCCATATTTATTTAATTAAAACTAATCCTAGCTACTTAAATATCAAATTACCTAATAAAACTAAAGTAATAATTCAAAACAATTCAAACATAACCTAAAATAAAAGATCTCGCCGGCTGGCCCCGGTTGTCAAATACCCGCACATGCTCATTTAAGCAATTTTTAAACGCTATTTAGAAATAGCGCTTGGTGTAATTGATCCGCAAATTACATCAGGCGGTAACGTTATTCGTGGGTGTTGCGTTAAAAATTGACTCGCGCATATCGTAACCATGATAAGGTACGCGTAAATACTGCATGACGCTATTCGGTTTTCCGATATCTCTAATAACTGTGCCGGTCAGGTGCTGTGCACAATTTTACAGGCCATAAGTGGGCGTGCTATGTGCGCAAACTAGTAACCTAACTAGTGCCCGATTCCGAAAATTGGAACCACGAAAAACAATAAAGAAAAAACAAAGTTTATAATCTGTGGTAATAGTCTTATTTTTAATTAATAAAATAATAGCACAGATTAGGTATCCTATAAGTGTACAGATAAAAATCTTGTCCCTAATTCGTGGTACGAAAATTGTTTTTTATGACGATGTGCAAACGAGTAAAATTTCCTGTGCGCAAAAATAAACTCGCGTAAAATAACAATTAACAGCGTAATAGAGAGATATCGCTAAACCGAATAGCGTGCATGGACGTTAATAAGGCCAGGTGTTATTTCCTTTACGTGAGATGGTATTAACTCGCTTCATTTTTATAGTTACCGGATCGGAAAGAATTCTGTTCGCGTCGCATCCGCTATTTAAACTTAACCTAACTTTGAATTTAAAACTTTGAAATTGTTTTGTTTACTAGGTATTTTAAAACTAAAGGGCTAAAGTGCTTATTTCCGGTGCTTTATTGTCCAACGTCTGCCAGTGGGTATATGGCAATAAATTCTCTTAGAAGGGGTAAGTCATCATCTGCTGTAAACCTAACCTCTTTATAGGTTTTTTAATATTGGAAGAGGTAGAATCCATATTTTGAGCCATATTTATTTAATTAAAACTAATCCCAGCTACTTAAATATCAAATTACCTAATAAAACTAAAGTAATAATTCAAAACAATTCAAACATAACCTAAAATAAAAGATCTCGCCGGCCGGCCCCGGTTGTCAAATACCCGCACATGCTCATTTAAGCAATTTTTAAACGTTATTTAGAAATAGCGCTTGGTGTAATTGATCCGCAAATTACATCAGGCGGTAACGTTATTAGTGGGTGTTGCGTTAAAAATTGACTCGCGCATATCGTAACCATGATAAGGTACGCGTAAATACTGCATGACGCTATTCGGTTTTCCGATATCTCTCTAATAACTGTGCCGGTCAGGTGCTGTGCACAATTTTAGAGCCCATAAGTGGGCGTGCTATGTGCGCAAACTAGTAACCTAACTAGTGCCCGATTCCGAAAATTGGAACCACGAAAAACAATAAAGAAAAAACAAAGTTTATAATCTGTGATAATAGTCTTATTTTTAATTAATAAAATAATAGTCTTTTTTTAAAATAGTCTTAACTTTAATAAAAGTCTTAACTTTTTTCTAACTTTCTGTACAGAGTGGCACCTCTCATACGCCGCGGAAGCTCCAAGAAGAACAGTAATTTATATCAAAATGAAATTTGGGCAGCATATGTAGGTTAACTGAAAGCATTTTATAAAAATATATAGAATTATACAGGGTGTCCCCAAAAAAAGTTACACATCAAAGTTGTGTTTTTTGTAATGGAACACCTTATACAGGGTGGTCCGAACTGTATTCCGGAAACTTCGGCAGCATATTCTGCAGATAAAAATAAGTAAAAAAGTTCGTATAAATGTATGTCCTAAAATGCTTAGTTTCAGAGATACAGGGTGTAGAAGTTTCATTTTTATTTCGATTTTTTCCAAATAATTTTTGAAATAACGTCAATATTTGGATGAAAATGGGTGTCTAGGAGTTTTTTGACATGAGAAATTTGATTTTGATGTCAATAAGACTGGTAGAGGGCGCGACCTACATGTGTTTTAACTGTTTTGAAGCGTAATAACTTTTTGTCGGTACCTGTATAAAACTACCGAGGAAAAAAATATACATCTCTGTGACTTTTTACGTAAAAATTATCTCTTTGTAAAAATCGCTACGAGCAACCGTTCTCAAGTCATTATTGACGTTTACATGTCATTATTGACGAAAAATTAACACGTTCAGTAGATAGTTATTTCACTGAAATAATAAGTTAGGAAAATTTTTATTTTTTTAAATTAAACATAAATTTTTCTGCAAAAAAATGATGATAAAATAGTTTCTGGCACAAATACTTTCAAATTTATGATCTATGATCCGGAATACAGTTTGACCACCCTGTATATTAATTGATTTTTGGATTCGGAAATAGAATCATATCAAATCTCTCTGATGTAGGATAAGTTTACATTTTCGGCAAATTCCTGAGAATTTTTTTTCATTTGAACTGACACAAAATGATAACTAGTTGTTAAAGTTGGACTAATTAGACAGGTATGTTGAAGTAACGTCAGACATATCACAGCCACCTAGATTTTATCAAGTAATAAAGATCTACTCAGATCAAATCATGTAAATGAAATTATCTAGAAAAATCTTCGTCTGATGGGTAGGCAACCTTAATAGTATTTTGAAGAAACATGAATTCTCCATTGAATATCGGAATAATATTATTTATTATTTATAATATTATTTATAATATTATTCTTTTATTGTAATTTAAATATTGTTCTTTATTTTTAGAAAATGTTAAATATGTGAAAAACTCACCTTTATTTTTCTCCCAGAATCCGAAAATCAATTAATATATAGGGTGTTCCATTACAAAAAACACAACTTTAACCTACATAATATGTTCACAAAATTTCATTTCAATACAAACTGTCGTTCTCCTTGGAGCCTCCGCGGCGTATGAGAGGCGCCACCCTGTATGTACCTACGTACATATATACCTCTTTCTTTCCATTTGCTCCACTATTCATAGGACACGGTACCATGGCAAATGGACAGGTAGGCGCAGCACAAGGGGGCGGTATAGCGTAGGGACAAGTAGGACTACCGCAGGGACCCGTTTTCAAGGACTTGGTTTTGAATTTCTTCAGCGGCGCGGGCAAAAAGGGACAGTTCAGGTTTTTGCAGGCTCCCTGGGGCAGCGGATCCGGACAGTCCCAGTGGATTGGCGGCAACGGTGGCCCGAATGGGTGTCCACAGTTGGGATCTCCACAGCTAGCTAGATTAGGGAAAGTTATGAAAAATGGAAAAATTTTCGGCAAAAATCGTCGCAAAAATATGAATTGTGAGCAGCCTTAATGTTTTAATAGAGCATTTTTTACCTCCCAGTGCTGGCGGTAGATACTGCAGCTCCAATTGAGCATCGTCATCCATTAGTCCCAGTTTGTACTTGGTGTAGGCGCATCTAGGAGATCCGCATCCGGCTGGATATCTGAAAATATCAACCTTTTCTAGCACATATCTATCATTTTCTTTAACCACTATACTTGATATTTATTGCAGTATCTGTGTACAGGGTGGGTCAACGATAGAGTAGAGTCCGTTATCTTATTTGTTTCGAGGTTTACAAAAAAATGTTTAATATAAAAGTTATAGGGAAGATTAAGATACACATTTTAAAATTATTATTATTACAGGGACAGAGTATACAGGGTGCTTCAAAAAAGTGTGGCGGATATAAAATATATTTTTTTAAATGCAACACCCTATTTTTCATTTTATTTTTAGATTCTACGTAAAATTTTATAACTTTTTTATATATAATGTTATATACCTAAAATTAACAGTTTTTGAAATATTTAAATTGGTTTAAACAAATGTTAAATTGCAGTGTGGTAAAAAATTGCCAGTAATACCATTGTTTCTGAAGTTGGAATACCAAAACTTGGTATGATAGTTCTATAGAGATTAAAAAGAAGATATATGTTAAGATATTTTAGTTAAATGCTACAGGGTGTCCAAAATATATTTATGAATTTCAACTACTTAAAATTAAGAAATTTCAATTTTTTTAAATGGTACACCCTATATATTATCATTTTTTCTGATAGATTTTACAAAACTCTTCAACTTTTATTAAGTATGTCATATACCTATTTTTATTAGTTCGCGATTTATTCCAATTTTTTTCTATTTTTACACATATTTTTAATACATTTGCGCTATAACATCATAGTTGCCATGACAAAAAGTAATAATTATCACAATTTCATGTCCGTTAAGCAAGTTAAGAACAAAATTTGAATTTTATTTTAATTTGTTGTAATAAGTATAAATGGTAGAGATAATTGTTACAGATTTTCTTCAAATGAATTAGTCAAGGTGACTGATATACGCGGACAAGCCTAGAAAACCACTTTTTTATTATTGTTCAGTACTATATATTATATAGTACTTTGCTAACTACTATAAGAATAGATGTATATTATCTAGAAAACATCTTCAGTGTGTAATGGGACGGTTTCGCGGCAGTAGTATATTGGTTTTACCACATTTATAAACCAGAATTACTACGAGAAAAAACTTTACTGTATGTCGAAGAAAATTCCTATATCAGTAGTCTTTAGCAATTAGGTAATCTAGTATTACGCTAATCTGTCGCTATTCGCCTCGACGAAAAATCCCAAGTGTCATCATAATATAGAAATACACAAGAAATTCACTACTGCGATTTAGTTTATTTGAGTAAAGTTAGTTAATTTTGACTAATAATAACAATTGTAACTGATTATTAAACTACTTATTAAAAATAAGTAATAAATATGTTTGTTTTGTTACGGTAACTATGATTCTATAGGGTAATTGTATTAAAAATATGGGTAAAAATAGAAAAAATGGGAATAAATCGCAAACAATTAAAAATAGGTATATGACATCCTTAATAAAAGTTGAAGAGTTTTGTAAAATCTATCAGAAAAAATGATAATATATAGGGTGTCCCATTTAAAAAAATTGAGATTTTTTTAATTTTTAGTAGTTGAAATTCAGAAATATATTTTGAACACCCTGTATCATTTAACTAAAATATCTTTGCATATATCTTTTTTTTCTTCATTTTTTTCTTCATTTTTTAGATGAAAACAATACTGCAGCACATCAGATAACAGTCTTGTGGTCAATTTACCGTGTCTTTTTCTGTTCACTGCTGGTTCCAGGGCTTTTAACGGTGCCGGTGCCAGCACCGGAACTGTAAGGACACCCCTCCATTTCGCATGGATCTTTGTCACAGGACATGGCACTTCCCTCTTTGCCTGCAGCTTTAACAGGGAAGCTTATACCTGGAGCGCCCTGGTCGCAGGCCTTTCTACAAGAGTCCTCGGCTAAGGTTTGTGCGTAGGGGCAGCTACCTTGGCCACAAGGCCCTATAGCTGAAAATTGTTACATATTTTGAGTATAGTTTCAAAAAAATAGTCTATCTGTTATTTTAATAAACAAATAAATGCCTTTATTTTCAAAAAATTTTACAATTTGTAGACAAAGGTAAAGTAAACAAACAAACAAAAGAGAATACAAAACATTATACAAATTACATTGTCTTATTGTTCAAAAAAAAAACATTTATAAATGTTTACAATGTCAAAGAATAAAAAAATAAGATTCAAAAATATTTAGTAAGTTTATAGTAAATATCAATGACCTCTAAATAAATTTATTTCGATGTCATTGGTAAATAGAGCATTAGCAAACATTAGACCAGTGTTTACAAGATCAAATTCGATTGTCAAAATATAAGTCATTTACGGCGTAGAAAGCCTTGTCTAGTAAATAAGATTTCAATGCTTTGCGAAATGAAGAAAATTATGTTATGGATTTGATTTCAAATGACAGGTGATTGTTCATTTTTTTCGAGTTGTATAATATTGAACTTTTAACTAACTCTGAACGTGGGGTAGGTAGATAAAGATCTTGCTTCGCGTTCCTGAGTGGATAAGTGTAAGATAGCCTTTCTTGAGAAGCTGATACATGCTTACGTATTAGCCAAACGGATTCAAATATAAATAAGGAAGGAAGAATTAATATTTTTAATTTTTTAAAAAAGTCCTGGCAATGAGTTCTGCTTTTTAGTCCCAGTGAATATCGAACAGCTCTCTTCTGGAGCTTGAACACGTTCCCCAGAATGGCAGGGCATATCTGAGGTGCGACTCAAACAGTGCATAATAAACAGCTCACTGACAAGTTAAGCTCCTTAGAAACAGATCTTAATGCAAAACTGGCAGAGCTTAATTTTTTCGACAAAACGTCGATATGCATGTCTCATTTCAGAGAATTGTTTACAACAAGCCCTAAGAATTTTACAGATTTTACGACGTCAATGGTGGTGTTGTTAAGTACAAAAGGCTGCCGCGAGTTTTTATACGACAAAGCTTTAGTTTTAGAAATGTTGAGACTCAGGAGGTTCGAATCGCACCAAAATTTAATGGTGATTAAGTCATTTGATATAATTCTATGAAGTGCCGTGAGATCCTTGTTGCTCCAAGTGAAGCTAGTGTCGTCCGCAAAAAGACATATTTTACCACTGATGTTTATGTTAGCAATGTCGTTAATAAAAAGAAGAAACAACATAGGGCCTAGTACTGAGCCTTGTGGTACTCCACATTCTATTGGCTTGCTAGAAGACAACGTGGTAGCCACCCTCACAAGTTGACTTCTGTTGCTCAGATACGACTTAAACCATTCGAGAGATGTTCCCCTGAACCCATTGTGCTGCAGGCACATATATTCAAGGATAAAAAAATGCCCATCAACATAAAGAAAAAGGCTTACGACAGCTTCATCCATTTCTTAGAAAAAGAATATCCCAAAGAAATTAGTTACTTGACCCAAAATACCAGAACATTGACTTATATGAAAGTCGTACAGGTTTAGACAAGAGTATTCTCTTGAGTCAAGAGAATATGTTTATTCCTGTTTTAAAAACCCCAAAATACCTTTTTTGTATTCTGCCAGAATACTGTCGAACTGGTCCATAACACTCTGGCACTCGACCATGGGAGATCTCGGAGCTGCCAAACCTCCATTATCCATACCATTATTGTTTTCGCCATTGTCTTTTGGTTCTATACCGGCCGTATCAGAACCTCCTCTTAGCCTCAGAGGACATCCGCAACTGTGCCCGATACCATTTTTAGACTTTTTTTTCTGAAGAGAAAAAAATACTGTAATGCACTGACATACAGGATGTATCCCCAGGATGGACAGATCGTTGCCGAATGTGTCCATGGTTGGCAAGAATGAATTTAAAACAAAAAAAAAAGGTCAGGGTTATAGACTTTAGTGTCAATGTCGATATGATTAATGACGTGCATCGGAAAATGTTTTGCGATTACAATATAAAGAAAAACCCAATGTTCATCATACAACACTCTGTACAAAGTATTACACTTTGACGTACTTTTAAAGGTTTAGGCCGGCAAGGTTTCTTTAGAACGCTAGGCTGTCCATCATCCAGAGGTACGAAAGGTAGTTCTTCCTGTTTGGGTCTGGAAAAGACGCCGTATGGCCCGTACTCGCACATAGTACCGTAGGTGTGGCTCAAACCGTAAGTCACTGGAGGTTCTATGTCGTTGCTGTAAAGGGTACCTAAGTTTTTACCAGTTGCCAACGGTCCTATGCCTGAAAAAATAAGTAGATATTATTTCAGTAATACGAAACTATATACCGTGCTGGCAACTGTTACTTTTGCGTCGGCATTTACATGTGTGGAAGGAAATCGCATAGGGATCTTATTAAGTCGGAGTGAGAGAAATGCGACCGACCGACACGACGCACGACGGTGAAAGGAGGTACAACGACAAAGAAAATACAGCAGTAATATTAACAAAGTTCTTGAAAAAACTACAATCTATTATTTCTAATAGATTTGGAGATATCGATTTTTGAATTCAGAGTTCTAATAGCGCGACCACTGTCGAACACCCACTCAATTCCACTTATTTTTACCAAAAATGCAAGTGTTTCTAGCTTGCACTTAAAAAAATTCAATGTAATTCCCTGTATTTTATTTAATTTTTGGATTCCTGAGCATAAAATAAGGCATTTATTATAAGGGTTTAATATGTTTAAATGCTTTGGTTTTTGAGCTATTTAAATATATTTAAATATGCATGCTATAATAAAAAAATTGTCAACACCCTGTACATTACTTTTCAGAGTTAATTCTTGTACTGCCTTTTAAGCCAGAGAAATAAACTTTACTAAAAAATGTGATTGCTTCTCTAAATGTATACAGGGGTAACAAAAATTGCTGGGCTATATTAAATATTTATTTTACATAAAAACTTCGTTATTTCAATTTTATAAAATATCAAATAGAATACTTGACCTTTGACCAGTGTGTGAGATGATCTAAATTTTAAAATTCAAAATTGTTCATGATTAAACATCAACAAAAACGTCGTTTACAGCATATAGGGCTCTCTCCAGTAAGTATGATTTTAGAGCTTTGCGAAATGCGGGAAAGAATGAAAGCGATTATTTGATATTCAAAGGCAGATGATTGTACATTTTTTTGGCATTGTACAATATTGAACCTTTAACTAGTTCTGAGCTCGGGGTTGGCAGATAAAGATCGTGCTCCGGCATTCCTAAGTGGATAGTTATGAGATTAAGCAAACGGATTCAAAAATGAATAAAGAAGGAAGAGTCAGTATTTTGAAATTTTTAAAGAAATTCTGGCAGTGAGTTCTACTGTTCAGTCCCAATAAATATCGAACTGCTCTCTTTTGAAGTCTGAAAATACGATCAATTTTGTTGCGCAGCAAGTATCCCAGAATGGAAGGGCATAACAAAGATGTGACTCAAAAAGGGCATTTATATTATTTTAGTATTTATATTTTATTTTATTTATTTATTTTTTTTTTTTATTATTATTATTTTTTTTTCTACTTTTGTATGACAAAACTTTAGTTTTTGATAGGTTGAGGCATAGGAGATTAGAATCGCACCAAGATTTAATGCTTAACATTAAAATCTGCTTCGACTTATTTGAAAAAATACATAGTGTTGTATTTGAAATAACGAAGTTTTATGTAAAATAAATATTTAAAATATACCAGCACCCTGGCATAGTGCTAAAATAAAGTTTTAATTTTATTAGTATTTGCAAACCGTATTCTTTGAATTTTTTCGCTGCGGGACAGTCAGCGTTTCCACACAACTTCCTTTGTATTTTATCAGCCGTCAGCTCGTGTGGATCATACATGGACATATCGTCATTTCTATCCTCCCTCTCCGATCTAGGAGCGGTACTTTTCAGTGTCACGCATGTACCCTTATCGTGAGCCTTCACATCAGCGGTCAATAAAGAAAGCAAATTGAAGAACTTGTTAGCTGAGGGTCTGTAGCATATCGAAACAGCTAAAATTTATAAGAAAATGAGTTTAAAATGTTTTACTTAATTTGGTAAAAGTGTGGATCCGTTGGTTGACCTTGAAGCTGCATTTGATCATCGATACTACGCGAGCGCACATATATGTGGGCATGCGTAGTATCTGTGACTATATGCAGCAAAAACTCGTTTCAAGGTTAGCCACCGGGTCCACATTTTTACCGTTAATTTTTGGGGAGTAAATACTATCTTCCACGCCATGATAGATGCTCATCTTGTCGTCCATTGCTCCAGCGAAGAGTTCCGTTAATGAGACGTTTTCTTTGAAATTGATCTGCGATTGAGACTTGGACTTGCCATCGGTTATGCCGGTGTATAGAGGCGCTACGATCGGTTGGACTCTGTCATCTTCATGTCTAAAAATTCAGATCATCTAAATCTTTATTCATTGATCTAAATTTCAATCTGTATTGAGATGAACCGCTTATTTAAAAATAAACATATTTCTTTAACAAATTCAAATTACATATTAATTTTTAAGACACTCTGTATACATAAATAAAATTATTGATTTTTAAGATATTATTCGCAAACTATGGACAATGCGTTGAGTGCTTAAAACACTCTTTTCGCAACGAATTTCATACAAGATTTTTTGTGAAAGCGGATAATTTGAGATTTTCATGCTATTATTATTATTTATTTTTAAACATTTTTTAAAATGTTCTGGTAATCGGTTTCTAAGGCATTGTTTATGCATGTTCTGTCAGGTTCAAACGTCGCCGTATTTCCTACAAAGTTTTGTGAAAAAATGAGTGATAATGAGGAGCCTTTGGATATTCAACAAGCTGCTGAAACTGCGCTATCCACGTTAGTGCCCGAGAAGTCGAAAAATTTATATGAGGCCGCCTACAAAAACTTTGAAACCTGGGTCAAAGAAAAACATGTTGAGAATTTCACAGAAAAGGTATTGCTAGCCTATTTCCTGAAGTTATCCACTAGGTACCTTAAAGCCGTCAACTCTGTGGAGTAAATATTCGCTGCTCTCCGCACCATGATTTACCTGAACAGAAACGTAGATATTAGCAAATTTACAAACCTTCCGGATATCTGGCAAAGAAATCAAAAGTATTTACAATTTTTTGACCGTAGATGCCATTAAAGATTGTCAGTTATTTATTAGTGTGAACATTCCGAATACAAAAACTCATTTTAGTGTTTACGATTACTGATGTACCAATAGATGGTATCAATTTCTTACATGTATTTTGTAAGTACGCAAACCTTCGACCACTCAATGTGACACATTTTTCTTGACGGATCGAAAAAATCAATGCTGTACCCTGCGAGTTGGAATCAATACAATTGGGGATTGGGGGGTAATCCTGCAGTTTAGGCCGACAAAAAATTGCGATCCAGATATTGACCGCTGTGTTGCCAAACTTAAGAATATAGGTTTGGAAATAGGGAAATCTGAAAAATATTCACTCTGATGATGTGATTGTGATTGTGATAAAAATTGTATCAAGATTTACTCTGAAAATATTTTATTGCATAGGATATTGTTCAACAATGCACTTTAAAAAAGGGCATTTCACAAACATCACATAAAGGTTTTAATCAATGACAAACAAAAATTCTATCAAAGATGGCTCTCAGACCGAACAGATACTAACTGGAGTCATTACAAGCAAAAAAATAGAGAGGTACGAGCCGCCATTATGATAGACAAAACAGATATTTGGGAAAGAAGGTGCCAGCAAGTGGAAAGCCTAATAGGGGGCGCACGGAGTACTGAGGTATGGAGAACAATCCGGCAAATGAAAACCAATCAAACGGACAAGCTCTTGAATAGAATGGATATAGAAAAATGGCGCAACTACTATGCAGAATTACTGACAGAAAACCGACCAGAATTCCAAGCAGTAGAAGATGAGAACAACCTTGCAGGCACTTTAATGATAAGCGAAAGAGAAGTACATCAAAGTCTCAAAAGAATGAAAAATGGACGGTCACCAGGTCCTGGTAATATTGTAGCGGAATTGTTAAAGTGTGGAACCCAAAGACTGCGCTGGCGTCTGGCAGAGCTATTTAACCAGTGCTGCCTGCAAAGTAAACTACCCGAGAATGGCGAGTGGCTCACATAGTGTCCATCTGTAAAAGGGAAATCGTAACGACCCCACTTGTTATAGAGGCCTAAGCATTAACAGTTCGGTCAGCAGACTTTTGGAAAGGTGCTACAGGGAGGCTCAGGGACAGTATTGGTGACAAAATCTCGGAAGACCAAAGCGGATTCACACCGGGGAAATCTTGCACAGATAACCTTTTTGTCCTGCAGCAGGTGATGGAAAAAAAGATAGCAGTAGATCAAGAAGTCCATCTAGCATTTGTTGATTTGGAGAAAGCGTACGACTCTATTCCCCGCAGCAAGATATGGGAAGTCTTGAATATCTTAGAAGTAGATGGACCTTTGCTTAAGATAATAAAAGAGCTATATAAAGAAAATGAATCGTACGTTAAAATAGGACACAGGCTATCTAATCCAATTAACACCACAAAAGGGTTGCGACAAGGATGCAGCTTATCTCCTCTGATCTTCAACGCTTACGTCGAAGTAGCCCTTAGGGAATGGAAGACGAAATCTCAAGGTATGGGAATACCCATTGAGGACAACACACTATTTACCCTGAGCTTTGCAGACGATCAGGTCATGGTTGCGCAGGACTCATACGATCGAGAGTTCATGACTAAGAGGCTTTATCAAGAATACAACAAATGGGGACTTCAGGTTAGTCTAAAGAAGACGGAATACTTAGCTGTCAATTCCAACGCTTGTTTTGAAGTCTTCGTTATTGATAACGTCAGATTCAACAAGTAGACAAATTTAAATACCTTGAGTGCTACTATCAACAACGAGGGGTTGGGCAAGGAAGAAATACAAACCCGAATTCAGAAGAGCAAACAAGTTATTGGATGTCTTAACAGCCTCTGGTGGGACCGAAACTTATCTGCAACAACTAAAAAGAGACTTTGAAGAACATTGGTGGAGTCAGTTCTTGGCTATGGTTCAGAGCTATGGACTCTGAGTGCAGACGCGAAGCGCAAAATCCAAGTTGTTGAAATGGACTACCTTAGAAGAAGTGCAGGTATATCTAGGATGGAAAAAAAGACAAACATCGAGGTCAGGCGTATCATGAATGCATCGGAGGAGACAGTACTGGATCGAATCGAAAAATCCAGCTTAAAGTGGTTTGCACGTGTTCTGCGTATGCCGGAGAACAGGTGGCCAAAAAGAGTTTTTCAATGGGCTCCCCAGGGCAGAAGAAAGAGAGGTAGACCTAGAAAATCCTGGAACAGAACGGTTACGGAAGCAATGGAAGCTCGTAACCTAGAAGCTGATGACGCTCTAAATCGAGATGTGTGGCGTAGGGTAACGGGAAGGCAGCAATAGGCTGTAGTTGGAAATGAGTATTAAATACTTAAACCAAATCCCGTTTATATAAATATATATATATATAGGCACTAGTGCCTAAACAAATGTCACTTTTAGATACTAGTGCCTAAAAGAATGACATTTCGAATCTCAAATAAATATCAAAAACTGTCAATTTCGAAACGCTTTAAAAAAATGATTAATCTATAAATTTACTTTTCAACTTGGAAGGTCTTCGACTCGTTCCTCTGCTTGAACACGTAGTTGTGTTTATCGCCCACTTTCTTGATCTGGAACATCGTTTGAACGTTGGATCCGTAACAGGACATCCTCATGAACAAGTTCAGTTTTGCAATAGGAAGGCCCTCCTTGGTTTTTAGATCGTGCCAATCTACATAAAGTTGAAATAAACTACCTCTAATAAAGTCGTTAAATTATTTAAATTGTATTTATTTTACTATAATATTTATATACCGGGTGTGTCTCAAAAGTGACTCACCTCTATAACTTTTTTTCAGATAAAAAACCAGATTAGGTATGTTGATGTATGACATAAATTAGGATTGATGGACGTATTTATTTGTTTTCGGTCACTTTCTGTTTCGCCGGAAATGACTACAACTTTTGATTTTTAAATGAGTGACAACTTTTGCGACGCACCCGGTATATGCAAAATATAAAAGACAACAACCCCTCGTATCAATAGCTTCTTACAAAAAAAAATACAAAAGGATTGCAAACCAATTCATAGAAATATGTCTATCGTGACGTGTAACCACTTCATTTTCTGATCATCATACAAAATTGAATATTTGAATGTATAATGTAATAAAATATTGCTTTTTCCATAGCAACGGTTAAAATTGCCTTATATCTATCAAAAATAGTAAATAAAATAGTACTTTAACCGCAAGGGTAGATTAAATGATACTTTAACAGCGAGGAGAGGTTAAAAACTTTCTTCTCGCACGTTTTTTAATTGCTTCCATTTTTGAAAATGTTTGAATTCCTTTTCATAAGTTATTCGGGATTCAAACGGAAGTAGTTTGGATATGGCGTTTGTCGCCGCAGCCTGAATATCTGTTGGTAATTTACTTATTTCGTTTTGAGCCATTTCTGGCTCCAATTCAATCAGCAATCGACACGAAAGAGAATTAAAAAATATTGACTCAAAACTGACAACTAAAGAGACAGCTTTATTTATTTGTCAAATTACATAGAAACCAACGCCAACCCAGCACAATAGTTTTTCTACTCGTAATTAATTCCTTAAAATAATAATTTATGAATATTTCTTAACACGTAACTCGCTATGGAAAAAATATTGTTTTATACACGACGATAAAATTGCATTATCGTCTTCCGAATTTAATTCACTCGCGAATTCATCGCTCGTGAATTAATCTTTTCAGTCGACGATAAAATACCATTATTTTATCGCCTTATATAAAAAATAACTATTAAAAACAAAATATGATAGGAAAGTTACCTTCACAAGTAGTCGACTTCACTATACCCAGTGTCTCGAAGTACTTGACCATTTCCGAGAATTCCTTCTTCCACGGTATTTGTTTTAAGCCAATGGTGGTGTTGCCATCGTACAGGGTGATGCTGTACGGATCGCTTTGGAGCAGCTGCCGCAGTACGCTAGGTTTCGAAACGAACAAAAAGGTTTTTCCAAAGTTCATGCGAATTTTGTAGCTCTCCGGTGTTTCTATATAAAGAATTTTAATAATCTCAATATACAGGGTGCTACAAATTCGAGGTACGAGCATTGGTATCTCGGAAAACCGTAATTACGGATTTTTTTGAAAATGAATTTTATTTTTTTCTGTCGTTACTTTTAAGAAAAGCAAAAAACTAATTGCACATTCTCATGGCCACTTTGTAAAGGCTATCTGATAGTATTTTTAGATTTTCAAATTAGCTGATAATTTGTGAGATACAAACGTTAAATTATTTTTTTTAAATACGGACCTGCATTTTTTATTTCCGGTTTTGAAAGAACTCGGTCTCCCGAGTATAATGATATGCCACACTTTATACTTTTTTTTTGGTTTTGGATGCCTTAACAACAAAAAACTATTTCATTATTATTTAAAATAATTTCCAGTCCGACTCTGGTTTTCTTAATTATTTTTTAATCTGATTATATTCATCGCAACAATACTAATCAGCGTTAATTAACATTGAATAAGGAAAATCGAGCCAATTGCAAGATTCAAGTAAATTATATCCGGGTCAACAATTTAAAGATATTTTTAACTCTTTTTATTGTGAACTTGAAATCTCAGTGTGCGATCTAATTATATGGCGTAATATTCATCGTAGTTATTATAAATAAATCAACTTCTACAAACTAGTTTCTAATGCTCTAAATGTTCGAAAGGGTTACCACCCTCCCTATTGCACAAATTTATTTTTCGTTCAATTTTATTTATAGCTCTTTGAACTTTCTTCTTATACTTCCGAAAGTATTTTGTACTCTTTATTGTAAATGTTGAGATGTATTATGCTTCAGCAAGCCAGGGTGGGGCAACAAATCCACGTTGTCCCACCGTAGCTACGTCCATAATAGCTAATATTAAGAACAAATTATGATATTTCGCCACTGCACTGCAAGAAAATTTACAAAATAAAATAGCTATTTTTTGTAAACACTTTTGCGTTAAACCTAAACGGACACTGCTTGTCAGAAGTTATGTTTACAGTTACACAAATTTGCCTAACAAAGTAAAAAAATGCTTAACGTTTCGGAAAGTTTATCTCTTTCCGTCGTCGGAAGCAAAAAAATACAAAGAATAAAGAAAAAAACTATTTAAAATATTTAAATTTAACTATTCGAGAACACTTTACTTTTTTAAAACAGATACGTCTACAAGAAACCGTTGACGTTCTGTTAAAAATCAATTTTTAACAGGATTTTTTTTAGAGAGACGAATCCGCCACATTGGTATAGACATTTTTTTAACAAATTATGATAGTTACCTTCAACATTGGGCGATGAGAAAAACTGCGTATCGATATCAAAATTCACCCTCTGCGCGAACTTGAAACCCAAACTCAAGTTGTCCACGTTGTTCAGCTTGTAGCTCTTGTCCAAAATAATCTCGTACACGATTACTTCCAACACGTAAATTTGCTCCATGTCACCTCATGGATGGTTTTCCGACCAATGGACGAAGTGGCGCGTAAAAAAACATACAAACTACTGAAGATTTATGTGGGAATGAGTTTGATATGACGTAAAATTTTATATAAAGACAAGAAATATGTTTGACCTTAAGTCAGGGGTGACGTCAGGTGATTATTGTATTTTTCAATTTGTTACAGGTGAAGATTCGGACTTGTGGAGTTACCTGGCTGTTTTGGAGGCCAACCCAGCACAATAGTTTTTCTACTCGTAATTTAATTTCCTTAAAATAATAATTTATGAATTTTTTTTTTTTTTTGTTTTTTTTTCGCTATGGAAAAAATATTGTTTTATACACGACGATAAAATTGCATTATCGTCTTCCGAATTTAATTCACTCGCGAATTCATCGCTCGTGAATTAATCTTTCCGGTCGACGATAAAATACCATTATTTTATCGCCTTATATAAAAAATAACTATTAAAAACAAAATATGATAGGAAAGTTACCTTCACAAGTAGTCGACTTCACTATACCCAGGGTCTCGAAGTACTTGACCATTTCCGAGAATTCCTTCTTCCACGGTATTTGTTTTAAGCCGATGGTGGTGTTGCCATCGTACAGGGTGATGCTGTACGGATCGCTTTGGAGCAGCTGCCGCAGTACGCTAGGTTTCGAAACGAACAAAAAGGTTTTTCCAAAGTTCATGCGAATTTTGTAGCTCTCCGATGTTTCTATATAAAGAATTTTGGTAATCTCAATATACATTGTGGTACAAATTCGAGGTACGAGCATTGGTATCTCGGTAACCGTGATTACGGATTTTTTTGAAAATAAATTTTATTTTTTTCTATCGTTTCTTTTAAGAAAAGTAAAAAAATATATGCACATTCTCATAGCCACTTTATAAGGGCTATCTGACAGTATTTTTAAATTTTCAAATTAGCTGATAATTTATGAGATACAGAGGTCAAATTAATTTTTTTAAACACGGACCTGCATTTTTTATTTCCGGTTTTGAAAGAACTCGGTCTCCCGAGTACAATGATTTATACTTTTTTTTGTTTTGGGTTTGACTGGACAGACAGAAATCTGTGGAAGTTGAGAAGCGGGAGACGACGAATGTCGTAAAAATCCGCAATATATATATACAATATGTCGAGCACAGCGCAGAGTATATATACACGGCTTGTCGTAAAGTAGCGGTAAGATATTAAGTCCCGCATCGCGAGATAGCGGCCTGCGTGCAATGGTAGTACTTTCGTACCACCGAGGCACAACTATCGATAGTAAATAAAGGCTTTTTTCGGCTAGCCCAAATTATATAATGGAAAATAAATTTCTTGCAGTTTTTAGGTATATAATAAAATTATATAAGAGTTTCTTGCCTTGAACTGCTAATATAGAAATTAATTCCACGCTGTGTTTGACATAATGTGGATCAACCTGCTCTCACTACCGGTTTCGGGGCCCTACCCCATCATCAGGTGAGCTTGGTTGTTTCCACAATATGTCGAGCACAGCGCAGAGTATATAAACACGACTTGTCGTAAAGTAGCGGTAAGATATTAAGTCCCGCATCGCGAGATAGCGGCCTGCGTGCAATGGTAGTACTTTGGTACCACCGAGGCACAACTATCGATAATAAATAAAGGCTTTTTTCGGCTAGCCCAAATTATATAATGGAAAATAAATTTCTTGCAGTTTTTAGGTATATAATAAAATTATATAAGAGTTTCTTGCCTTGAACTGCTAATATAGAAATTAATTCCACGCTGTGTTCGACATAATGTAGATCAACCTGCTCTCACTACCGGTACAGCTCTCAAACCGGTGGCGTGGAATTAATTTCTATATTAGCAGTTCAATGCAAGAAACTCTTATATAATTTTATTATATACCTAAAAACTGCAAGAAATTTATTTTCCATTATATATATATATATATATATATATATATATATATATATATATATATATATATATATATATATATATATATATATATATATATATATATATATATATATATATATATATATTATAAGTATTAAAAAATTTCTGTTCAATTGATTATTGATTTGAACTACAAGAAATTATGCATTAGCAAGCAGGGTGGGGCAACTAACCCACGTTGTCCCACCGTAGCTACGTCCATAATAGCTAATATTAAGAACAAATTATGATAGTTACCTTCAACATTGGGCGATGAGAAAAACTGCGTGTCGATATCAAAATTCACCCTCTGCGCGAACTTGAAACCCAAACTCAAGTTATCCACGTTGTTCAGCTTGTAGCTCTTGTCCAAAATAATCTCGTACACGATCACTTCCAATACGTAAATTTGCTCCATGTCACCTCATGGATGGTTTTCCGACCAATGGACGAAGTGACGCGTAAAAAAACATACAAACTACTGAAGATTTATATGGGAATGAGTTTGATATGACGTAAAATTTTATATAAAGACAAGAAATATGTTTGACCTTAAGTCAGGGGTGACGTCAGGTGATTATTGTATTTTTCAATTTGTTACAGGTGAAGATTCGGACTTGTGGAGTTACCTGGCTGTTTTGGAGAAGTTGTTTTTGCAGTATGATATTGATTTGGCCGCTTGTTCGAGGAAGGTGGTGTGTCAAACGGTGCAGAATTCTGCAGAGAAAGTTTCTAGAGGTAACTAAATATCCTATTAGTGATTGGAAAATGTTAGACCAAGACCAATCTAACTAGCAAATAGAGTTCCCAGTCCTTTTTAAATGTCACTGTCCCTAAAGTATAGTTCCTAGGCCCACTCTGTCACTTAAAATGTTACTCTATAAGGAATAGTCACTTTGAAGTATATTTCGAGAGTGACCGGTTAGTGTCTACCTACCATAAAAGTGGAAAATAAACACCCCGATTGCAAGTCGCAAACATGTAATTTGAAGAAGTGGCTGCTTACTACCCGAATCTTCGAATATGAGACCATAAAAGACCAAAAACTTTATAGTAACTTTTCAAAGTAGGGGTTGCCAACAAGTGCTACCATAATGCCTCCATTAAGTTTTTGTTACTTTATAGTAACACTTTAAGTTAGGGGGTAGTCGCGGCCACGACACCTAGTTACTTCTAATTTATAGTAGCATTGAAAGTAGCAAAATGGTTACTGCTACCTTCCTAGGTCACTATAAAGTAGCCGTCGCTCATCCATTGCCACTAAAGGTTGTCGCCCACTAGACCGCGGCGCGGCGCGGCGCTGGGAAGAGAATTTTTTCCGGCTGCGAAGGGACTGCGCCCACTATAGCGCGCTTTTGAAACGCGGCAACGCTATTTAGTTATAGTCGAAGTGTTTTTTATTTACTGTAGTTTAGTTTTTAAAGCAATGAGTTCAAGTACGGACGAAAGCGTATTTTTTGCAATAATAATTGTTGATCACTTCGTAAAAGTTACAAGTTACAAATAGAGAAAATAATATTTATGTTTGCATAAAATATTTTTACAATTAGTACACACGTACCTACTACAAAAAGTCAAAAGTTATATATTTTATATAAAATTATTATTTTGTAAATGTTAATAAAATTATAAATTTTGTAAATCTAATGTTAATAAATGTTATGTTTAAAAATAGAAGTTTTTATTTGACTAGTTTTTCAAAAAAAATGTCGTTATACTTTAAAACGGATAATACAGCAGGCTACGAAAGCAAGTTAAAACTAAGTGTTTTTGTCAACTAAATTTTTTCCTGGCGGTCTCTTACCGTTTTTCAGAAAAACGGAAAATAGTTTCAACATAGAATTTTACTTAATTTCTCATATTTTTAAGGTTTTCTAGCACATATTTTGTTAGGTATTCAATAAACAATGAGGTTTTTGCTATTTTCTGTTACTTTTTTAACCAATTCTATGCATAATAGAGGAAAATTTGCTAAAATAAATTTGTAAACAATCTGAAAATGTTGGGTTGTGTGTTTCTGGCATTTAAAGCAACGTTGCCAATGCTGAACGTAAATTTAGCGTGTTTTTTTCGCTCATTCTGGGATTACGAGGCGGTTGCCTTGTTGAACAGCTCCTTCCCATAACTGCTATTTTACCAACGATATATCTGACTATTTATAACCACGAAGTGGCATGAAAGAGTTTTGTTTGCATTGGTTACAACTTCTATGCGGAGGGTGTTAATCTTTTGTTGTTATATTATATAAAAAAAAGATTAACCCCCTTCGCAAAGAAGTTGAAACCAGTGCAAATCGGGCTTATAAATAGTATTTATATAACTTCTTTGCGAAGGGGTTTAATCTTTTTTTAATATAATATAACATAAAAATATCAACCCCCTAAGCATAGAAGTTGAAAGCAATGTAATTAAAACTCTTCCGCGTAACTTTGTGGATATAGGTATATTTAACTATTGTCAAATCTCATAATAGGTAATTTATTTAAAATCCCTAATCACCCGAAAAAAAATCAAATATTTGTCTCTCTCATTACATAGGAGAGAGAAAGAAGAATATATGAAATGTCAAACTTCCATCTGGTCTCAATTTTCTTTGTTATTTTGTTAAGAAAAGTGTTTTTCAGTAAAATTTTGGACATTTTTCAATCCTCAATCAAGTGTGGCTTTTAGATAAACTATGATATAATAAAAATATAGTGAAATTATTACTTTATAGGGCTGAAATAAAAAAAAATTCAATGTTGAAATTATTTTCCGTTTTTCTGAAAAACGGTAAGAGACCGGTTGGTTAGGTTTGGTCAGATTCGTAATCTACGACCTCAAAATAGGGTGTATACCAATTTTGGTGAAAATAGGACGATTTCCAGTTTTCCCAATAATTACCTATTTATATAATATAAATTTCCATCATAAAATATAAACAATAGTAAAAAAAATCATAAAAATATACATAATAATTTTATGATTTGAAATATCCGACCTTAGTGCGGTCCTGGTTATATTACTACAGGGTTCCTGTTCACGTGCTTGCCTCATGTCTCTGTTTACGTTTGGTGCATCTTGGGGTTGAATTTACTATAGTTACTTCTAATTTATAATAGCATTGAAAGTAGCAAAATGGTTACTGTTACCTTCCTAGGGCACTATAAAGTAGCCGTCGCGCTCATCCATTGCCACTAAAAAGTCACGCGGGTCAAAAACGGCTGCTTTATAGTGACCGTAACTTAATATACCCTAATAAATGTAATTGCCTCAGATTGTATCCTGTGCTGCTCTGTTTTAGTGTTTTCTTTAACTTGCTTTTAAGCTTTATTAAAATTTTGTAAAATCCCTACGGTGAATAAAAAGAAATTTAGAGATTCTAGTACTTTCTACCGAAGAATTAAACAAAAGGAATCACTGCGAGCCGATGCATTAACATCAGAAAAAAAAACTACATCTTTCTATAATCCTACTGATGAACATCATAAATCAGGTAGTGACTGGGACGTTTTTGAAGCTGTTTCTGTAGATGAGTGTAGTGTTAGTTCATCTGAAACTGAATCTCAGAGGAGAACTAATTTGAGAACCAACAATATAAAACAAGAGCTAAAAGAGTGAGCGTTAAAATACTCTATACCTCATGTAGCTCTGAATGATATAGAAACACTAATAATAGAAAATGCACAAAAAGTAAAAAATAACTTCAAAGGACAAGGCGGAACGTTATAGTGGCACCAATGGAATGTATAGTCGCCACCAAGACAACCATTTAATTAAGTGGCAATTTGGTGGCACAGGGACCTTTCTTGGAAAAATCACTTTATGGTTGCAAAGAATCGTTGACCATGTAGTTCCAAAAAAGTTATTGTTTCTATAAAGTCGCCTTTGGATAGCTACAATTGTCACTTTATCTATCCGAAGATTTTAAAGGTCCAAACGGGTAGGGTTGGCCTAATATGTTATTGTTCCCGGTACTTTGTGGAAGCATATGGAACTATAAAGTATTTTTCGGATTAAACGGCCATATTTTTTTCATGAATTTTTAGACGAACAGACAAATGGCTCAAACATTATGCGGTTTTAAGCTAAATATACCTAGATTAAAGCTTTTTTCCTTAGTTATTTTGTTATTTCTGACGGTGGACTAATATTTTAAAGTTTGACCCCGGTTTCAAGCAAATTATTATTTTTTTTAATTAGAAATATGAGTTTCTATTGCAAATAATATAATAATTTGAAATATTTTGAGAGGCGCTCGAAAATTTTGTTATATAAACCCACTATTTTATTCAGTAAAGTTGATTGCATTCTGGAATTTACCTAAAAAAAGGCGTTAAAATCGCACGGTAAATAACGAAAAAATTAATAATGGCTTCCATAATTATTTTCCATCATGACATTTATTTTTATGAAATGTGAAATTGCTTGAAGAGGTCGCTGCGAATAAAGTTCAACAGTTTAACGAAAGTTCCACATGTCGGTGGCTAACACTTGGCTGCAACGACCCCGCGACTAGGCAGCTTCGTAACGGATAAGTCGCATTCACCAGTAGGCTACTTTATAGTAACACATCATAGTAATTCTTTTAGTGGCAAAAACTACCCAAGACACACCCGGCTACTCAAAACCTTTTCCCATTTTGGTCGCAGTTACTTAGCAGCTACGAATATACGACGTAGCCGCCGATGGTCACCGCCCACTTTGTAGTGGCTTTGATGGTAGCAGTTACGTATCTGCCACTATAAATGCTAGTTGGGATTTGGGATGCCGCCTGTGATGCAGATGCATGCCACTCTCTGCATTTTACACAGATTTTGAGTATTTGATAATTCGAGTGACACTCGGGTGATCCTATCACTAATTTTAAGTAATTTTGAAACAAATGAAACTTTAATGAAAAAATCAATATTGTCTGGTGAAAACTTTATTTTTTCAATCTGGAAATTTCCTGTGAGGTTTTAAAAAATGTTTCGCCTGTGCCTCTTTTTTACCCTCTATTTTTGATTTTGAAAGTTGGCAAACCTAATTTATACGAACTTTTTAACTTATTATCTGCAGAATATGCTGCCGAAGTTTCCGGAATACAGTGCGGATCACCCTGTATACAGAAAAAATCCAGAGGTTCCGAAAATTTAAGCAAAAAATCATATTTTTTCTTAATTTTTAAAGTAAAATAATGTTTAACCCCCTGTCATACCCCCTTACCAACCCCTCACCCCCACCAAAAACTAATGGCCAGATTCTCGGGTGCCACAGTATTTTAGTGCCAAATTTGATTAAAATCGGTTCAGCGGTTTTTGAGTTATCGTGTTACAGACGGACAGACGGACATACAAACAGACACCATGAAAATATTTTGTATTTAGGTCATTTATGACCCAAATAACTCATTTTGAGTGTGCACTTATTTAAGACTCACCCTATATATTTTTTTTCTTCAGGTTATGGCAGTAGTATGGACAAAATTCTAGACGGACTGGCCAGCAACGAATGGTTGCAAAAGAATCTAATGAGCTCAATGCTTCTAGAAAGCATTAACACCGGATTGAAGCATGGAGGAACCTGTAGTCAAGCTTACAATAGGTGTCGGATAAGGGAGGATAAAATATTCTATTTGTTTAGGACATTATTAAATCATTTGAATTTATTATAATGTGATTTTAGGTTTTATTTTTATGTTTTTTGCTTGCTCGCTAAAAGCTTCCTATATCGTTTATTATTGCTCATTTTTATGTTGTATCAATTTTATGTTACAATTTAAAATTACTTAAAATGCTGCTTTTTGCTGTGGTATTTTGTGTTCAATACGTTTAGGGGTAGTAGAAAAATGAAAAATCTGTAAAATACCGTATGATCGAAAAAAAAACGGCGTCAAAGAGGGGTGGGTAATGACATTCGATGATAATTTTGGCGAGGTCAATCTCTAGACGGTCATTAACTAAAAATTCACGTACAAACTTTTTCAAAAATTCGCATAATTTATATGAAGGTTCAAAAAGAATAGAACGTTTCCAGACACAAATCTATTTATAAAAAAAAATATTTTTAGCACAATAAAAAAATAAAGAAGTGGACGAGACAAATAATGACGTCTTGGGCTTGACCTCGTCAAAATTAACGTCGATTGTCATTCCCAGGCCGTCTTTGACGTCGTTTTTTTTCGATCATATGGTACTATGGTATTTTATGAATTTGTGATTTACTTAGAAACATTTAAATTATATTAAATGAGTCTTTGCAAAATAAATTTAAAAAATAAACCAGTGTGTTTATTATTAAATTGATGTATTTTTATTTGTTTTAAACATCTACATGTAGTCCCTGAGTGTACATCTGTTTTTTTTTATTTCAAAATAATATTCATTGGATTAAATAAAAATACTTTTATATCATTATTTTTTTATTAAATAACATACAAATAAATATCGTAAAAAATACATATTTACAAATTTTAAACTTCATTTTATATTTGAATTGGTGAGTTCTCCTCTTAAGTCTGATTTCAGCAACTGAAAAATAAATGGTATAAAAAAATATTAATTATAGTACGAATTTATTTAAGTACTTCTTTTATTTTTACCTTAACTTTATCTTCGTAGGTACCTGCGGATCCCAGAATATATGACAGTTTTGTTAAGGCTGCTTCAACTGTCATGTCACTGCCAGAGATTATACCAATTTCTTCCAAAGCCTGTAAATAACGAAAGAAAATTATAAACTTATTTCAAAAATTCTTATGATCTTTTTTATTTTTTTAATCTACGACAATGTTATTATGACACATTTAACATTGTAATTTGGATGTCTTTCATAACAGCACTAGTGCTATTATGAATTCATAATAACACGCAAATTTTAAAATAAGAAACAAGCAAAAAAAGGTACCTAAATACGTTTATTTATTGTAAACATTAATTATAATATCAGTACAATTGGTTAAATTAAATCCAGACGATGACAGGTGAGTTGAATTTTTAGAAAGTAAATTTATTTCCTGAATGCTTGAACTTGTTGAAGACCCATCATTGCCAGAAATGTTACCCAAAATATTACACATGACACTTTTTTCTTATTTTCTTTGGAATTTTCTATGTAGCTCTCTGCCACTGTGTTAGAGCGCCAACCACCATGTCTTTTAACAGTTAATAAATCCACTCCTGAATCTGCAAGCAACGACGCAGACGATCTACGGAAACAATGTCCAGTGTATTGTTGTGGATTTGGAAGACTTAGGAACAATGCTATTTTATACGGCATTTTCCCTAAAGTATTAATGCCAACGGGTTGCTTAATACATTTTCCACATCTGTACCCCACAAAAAATCGAGTATGCTCTGTGTTGCTTGGCTGCATAGCTAAATATTTCTTCGAACCATTTCCACCATATTTATTCCTTCAACATTCCCTTTCGTTATAAAAAAATCTCGTGAATGTTCTCGTGAATGGAATAATGACATGAATGCATTATCCTTCATCTTTAACATTTTGCAGCTGCAGATTTGTCAACTCGATACGCCGGCAGGCTCCCGCCGGAAAAAAAGATCCCGCTCTTGTCAGGAAATAAATTTCATCATCGGCTTCCAACAAAAAACCTGTCTTATGTCTTCTTTTCTTAAAATTCTTGATTTTTTTGACCGAAATCCTTCCGATTTTCTTTTTAGAAATGCAATTAAATGGACGTACTTACTAATATCTGTATTTTTCTTCACTGATATAACTGAACGTAGCATAGAATAATATACCCAAAGTGATGAAGCCTTCCTATGTTTTGAAAGATGTTCAAAATATGCCAGGAAAACCTTTTCGTTATTACTATTCTTGATTCCTTTACCTTTACACCAATCTTCAAGTTTTACATAGGCTTGCTCGTACGTTTGTCTTGAGTTTTCGGGAAGTCGAATTGACAACGTTTTGCGCTATGCCTTCAATATCCGAAGGGACATTTTCAGAATCAGAATCACCAATATTAATATTATTTTTTGCTTTTTGCTAAAACTGAACGTTTAACACAAAGTTTAACACAAAATTGAACATCAATAATTGATTCGATACGAACTTTTTAATGATGTTTGTATCGAACTTGTATCATTAATAACTATTATAAATGCATCTTTTGTTGGAGTAGTTCTCTGTGAGACACCCTGTATAACGACAATTTACATTGAAAAGATTGGTCACAAACGTGTTAAATCAGATATGCTGTATCTTCTCCATATTTAACTTTAAATTTACATTGTGATACTAGTACTTACTTGTGCTGTTTCGTAGGCTATACTGACAGTTCCTCTAGCGCACTGACTTATGTTAACTATCAAAACGCCTCTTTGCACAGCTTCTTTCAGTACCCTGAGCAACTCTGGCTTGTTGGATGGTATATTTCCAGCACCGTAACTCTGCAGTACCACTCCATCAACCGGCGGTTTCAAAAATGATTCTAACTAAAAATATTAGTAGCAAATTTCAGTTTGGTATAAAATTGTTGGAGTACTCAAATTTGGTATGAGACATATTATGGAGAGACATAGAGTGTTATAAAAATGAAGAAAAAGATATATGGTAAAGTTGTTTAAACAACTTTACCATATATCTTTGGATGTACTTAAACAGCCGTTAAACGGTAGCCTACTAAATGTATTGTGACGTCGTTCATGTCGACGGAAAGTAATGCCTAGCCATAAGGATATTGCAAGAGCACCTGTGGCTCCGTGGCTGAGGCTATCGGTTCGTGAGCGAATGGTCCGGGGTTCAAAACTCACGCTGACCAACACTTTTTTATATTTTTTTTGCTTATAGCGTGATCTTATTGCATTGGTTTCACTCTTTTTGGTTGGATTGGTTTAGTTATTTGGCGGGTTGGTTAGCGTGGTTATTTGGAGGTTGTTAATTCATTGGTGGGGTTGGTTGGTTTTTACTAATTTATATTTGTTTTTTAAATTTTTTATCGGTGTCGAGGCTAGTTGCGTTGGTTAAGTTGGTTATTTGGTGGGGTGGATAGCTTTGGTTAGTCCTTATATAATTCCTATATTTCATAAAACCGTCAAGTGCGTCACATCAACGACGTCATACCTATTATTGCAACTCATACTACATCACTCTACACATGTTGAAACTCAGTTTGCCTGCGACCTTGTATCCTCTTACTCATATTATTAATTGTTGCCTGGAAACAGGGTATTTCCCCAAATGCTGGAAGGAGTCTATTGTTTGCCCAATACCGAAAGTGAAATGCCCTGGTAGTGTTACCGATCTGCGGCCCATAAGTTTGTTGCCTGTCATGTCCAAGGTACTGGAGAGAGCAGTGTATGCTCAGATTAACAACTTTCTTTTAAGAAATAAACTTTATCCAGTTCATCAATCAGGATTTCGTGAAATGCATAGTACAACTACAGCCATGTTGAACTTGACAGATAACATTTTCAGGGCTCTTGATAGGGGTATGGCTGTTCTGTCCGTTTCTTTGGATTACTCCAAGGCGTTCGACGTATTGGACCATGATCTTCTGTGTGCTAAGTTGCATTATTTGGGTTTTGACGAGCTGTCTCAAACTTTCCTTGAGAGTATCTTGCTGATAGAACGCAGAGAGTAAGGTTAAATGGTGGTTTGTCATCCGCCGGCAGAATAATATCGGTGTCCCACAGGGCTCCATTCTAGGACCACTACTATTTCTGATATATACCTTCGACATTTTTGATAGTGTCTCTAATTCCCACGTACAATCATACGCCGATGACACGCAGCTTCTCCATTATTTTGATCCAGTAAATTCTGATACGGCTTCTCTTCTATTGAACCTAGATTTGGAGTCTATTTTAAAATATTCTACTGAACACAATTTGAAAATAAATGCCAATAAAACTGAAGTTCTTTTGTTTTGTTCAGAGAAGAAAAGAGCAACTTTACAGCGAAGCATAACACTAAGATTAGCTAATGAAAATCTACGCTACTCAGCTTCCGCTAGGAACTTGGGACTATATATTGACACGCATCTTAGGTTTAAAGAACATATAAAGAAACTTTTGCAAACAACTTACACGAGAGTCAAAATATTATATTCCAATAGATACATTTTAAACTTTAAGATGCGAAAAAAACTGTGTGAATCCCTGGTACTGTCTGTTTTCAACTATGCTAATATTGTTTTTTATCCATGTTTGGATCTGGTTTCTAAAAACAGATTACAGTATGTACAAAACGTTTGCTGTCGCTTCATTTTTGGTCTGAGGAAGTACGATCATATCTCTGCTCGTATTAATGAATTAAAGTGGCTTAAGATTTCAAACACTGTCAGGCTGCATTTCGTCATGTTTCTGTTTAAAGTTCGTAGCACATCCACCCCTATATATCTGAGTGAAAAACTTATTCCTCGTAATGTCATGCATAATTGTAATATAAGACAACATAATCAACTGACCATGCCTCAACATAGATCCGCCCTTTTTCAAAGAAGTTTTACCTATATGGCCGTCACTAGTTACAATTCCCTTGATAATGATTTTAAACAATGTAATTTTGGCCAATTGCGAAAAAAATATAAAATGTTTCTTTTGTCTTCACAGGAATGATAATGGTTTTGTATTTTTTGTTTATTTCTTAAAATTATTTATTATGCCATGTGTATAAGAATTAACTATGTATATTTTTTAATTTGTTAGTTTATAGAACATATTTTTTTGTCTTTTTTGTCTTTTAAACGTATTTTTCAACAAATATCTTCTGGCAGCTATGGGTGGTTAAATGTAAGAATAACTTTTTTGTTAAATTTCGCCACCCTTGTTGCATGATGTGTAATAATATATGTAATGTTACACATCTTTTTTTTTTCTTCAATAAAGACGATTTTTTTTTTTTTTTTTTTTTTTTCACTGCTCAGAACAGGTTTAAAGCTGCCTTATCGGTCCATGGGGACAAGATAAGGTGCTACTGTTAATCACCTAGAAAGGAACGAACAATGTTAGCAGCATCAAGCAGCACAGATTTCTGTATTAGGCGGTAAGTATTTTCAGGTATTCCAATTACTTTTAATTGTTCTTTCAGGTTGACCGGGATAATTCCAATGGCTGAGACAATCAAGGAGACTACCTGGACCGATTCCATTTGCCATATATTTTTTATTTCTATTCTCAAATCTTGATACTTTGTTATTTTTTCTGTAAACTTGCTTTGTATATTGTTGTTGTTAGGAATAGAAATATCAATTAGTAAAACTGTTTTTTTAATTTTATTTATAAGCGTGATGTCCGGTCTGTTACTTCTAACGGTTTTATTTGTTAAGATTGTTTTATCCCAGTATATTTTAAAACTATTATTTTCGACTACGGGTGGTGGATGATATTTGTACTAGGGCTCTTGGATTTCTCGGTCAATGTTGAATTGTTTGAGGATCTCCAAGTAGATGATTGATGCGACTCTGTTGTGTCTTTCCAGATACTTTGTACTCGCAAGATTACTGCACCCTGATAAAATGTGTTCTATGTTTTCACTTCCAGAATCACATCTACGGCATTTGTCTGATATATTCTCCTTTAGGATGAGTTTCCGGTAGTTGCGTGTTGGAATAACTTGGTCTTGCATAGCCACTATGAATCCCTCCGTTTCTGGGTAGAGATAACCCGATGTTAACCAGTGCAATGATAACCAGTGCAATGATATAAGACGATTATTATTATTATTATTATTATTAACGGCATTTTAGTAAGCTACCGTTTAACGGCAGTTTAAGTACAGCCTATATCTTTTTCTCCTTTTTTATAACTCTTTCTTACCTGTGTACTGGTAATTGTAGGGAAGAAACTAAGTGTTCCTACATTAGGATTAATATTCGTATGCACCGCTATATTTCCTTTTCTAGTATTTTTTCTTATATAATGCTCATAAACTAAAAATAAAATAATTTTATTGGACCCTATAACACATATATACAGGGTGGTCCGAACTGTATTCCGGAAACTTGGGCAAAATATTCTGCAGATAAAAGTAAGTAAAAACGTTCGTATAAATGTATGTCCTAAAATGCTTAGTTTCGGATATACAGGGTGTAGAAGTTTCATTTTTATTTCGATTTTTTCTAAATAATTTCTGAAGTAACGTCAATATTTTGATGAAAATTGGTGTTTGGGAGTTTTATGACATGATGACAGGTATTAATAATTTCAGTTCAAAATATCACGAGAACCATTACTCATAGCGATTTTTACCCAGAGACATTTTTTACGCAAAAAACGTCGTAAATATATTTCTTTTACTCAGTAGTTTTATACAGGTACGGACGAAAAATTATTACCCTTCAAACCGATTAAAAAAGGTGGCGCCCTCTACAAGTAGGAGTCATATTGACATCAAAATCAAATTTCTCATGTCAAAAAACTCCCAGACACTAATTTTCATCTAAATATTAACGTTACTCCAGAAATTATTCTGAAAAAATCGAAATAAAAATGTAAACTTCTACACCCTGTAACTCCGAAACTAAGCATTTTAGGATATACGTTTATACGAACTTTTTACTTTTTTTCATATGCAGAATAATATGCTGCCGGAATACAGTTCGGACCACCCTGTATATAGAATTATTATATTTAATTACTAGCGTGTACCAGCGACTTCGTTCGCGTCGAATTAATCATTTGTAATGGTGATGATAAAGCAAAGCAAGAATTTCCATTAACATACAAACGGGATAAAATTTTCTCATATTTATGTCAGCATGAGAAAAAACAATATGGCGATATTATTATATAACTTGGTAATATTTGAGGGGTAGTTTCATCTCGTTGGAACTTGACTTTCGAAAAATCCGTTTGCCAAAAATAAGCTTTTTACGTCAAGCAGTTTAAGCAGAATCGTGGTTAAGAAATTACCCAACTTTTTGGAACACCCTGAATAATTTTTTAAAAAATTTCAAAATATGTAAAAAAACCAAGTAAATTATGCTTGTCCAAGCGTTTTCCCGAAAGACTAACCGTTTTTTAAATAACAAATATTGTAATATTTGAGGGGCGTTTTCACCCTCTTGGAATTTGAGATTCGAGAAACCCCTCCTTATCGAACCTCTACACCCCACAGTCAATCCGTTTGCCAAAAATCAGCTTTAAACGTCAAGCAGTTTAGGCAGAATCGTGATTACTCAATGGTCACATTTTATGAAACACCCTGTATAAATATATAAAAAATCTTAAAATATGTAAAACAACAAAAAAACTCACCGGTTTTTAAATAAAAAATATTTTAATATTTGAGGGATAGTTTCACCCCCTTAGAATTCGAGTTTCGAAAAATCCCTTCTTATCGAACCTCTACACCCTTAAGTCAATCTGTTTTCCAAAAATCAGCTTTTTTCGTCAAGCGCTTTAAGCAGGATCGTAATTAATCAATGACCAGATTTTTCGAAACACCCTGTATACATTTTTAAAAAATCTTAAAATATGTAAAAAAACAAAATAAAATATACGTGTTTAAGCGTTTTTTGGCAAACTTGACCGTTTTTTAAATAAAAAATATTGTAATATTTGAGGGGCGGTTTCACCCTCTTGGAACTGGAATTTCGAAAAAGAATTTCCCTAGAATTAACATGTATGCCAAAATTGAGCTTCTTACGTTGAGTGGTTTGAGCAGGATCGTGATTAATCAGTATGTCAGTCACTTAAGGATTTTATATATTAGTATAGATTTATAATACACATAATATATCTGTATAATTAGTATTTCTTCTCTTAATATTATACAGGGTGTTTTTTATATAAGTGCAAGTAATTTAATTAGTAGACTATTTCTGATTCAGAAACAGGTCCATCAGTTTTTTTTTGTGAAAAAAAAATTGTTCAGAATTTTATATTTCTTTTCTCGATATCCTCCAGAAAATTTTTATATATATATATTTTTTATATAAAAAAAAAGTTCAATATTCTCGTGAAAGTTCAACGGAACTATAACGGAATTATCGAAGCCTTTAAAATACTGGTATACTTATCTAAAAAACACCGTGTATAAAAATTTAATATTCCTTATGGTTATATATATTTTTAAATAAATACCGTATGATCGAAAAAAAACGGCGTCCAGTTGGCTTGGAAATGACGATCGATGACATTTCCCATATAATTTTACATATAAAATGACAGCGATCTTCATTTCATAGCCATCGTCGACGCCGTTTTTATTCGATCATACGGTACTAAGCCAAGGATTTAACTGACTTTTTTGTAATTGCCATAATCTTCAGGAGTACATTTGTATTGATTTTTTAGACACCCTGTATATTTAATATTATTTAGGCAGGAATGTGTCTTAGCGCCTCTCCTATTCAACATATTCATGGCAGCGCTCTCCGACGGCGCACGGTGGGGTATTAGCATATGAAAAAGGCCATGGCGAAAAAGCAAATGTGTTTAAGATTTCCCAAAAAAAGATAAATGATAAGTTAAATCATCTCTGCCATGAACGGCTTTGCTATGGGTTTGTTTAGTTGCATTCATTTGTTTCAACGAAACGTCAAAGTTGTTACTTCTCACGGATAAGAGGTAAATGGCTAAATTTTATGTTTAAAATTATAAATTGTTATTGTTCTTGTGCTCTTTTTTTGTTTATATTATTGTTTTGATAGAAAATGGCTCAGCAAGCTGCAGGTATGTATTCTACATAAACGTATTATTTATTTTGATATTCTCTATACTAACGATTTTTTTGCAACTAAAAGTTAGGCGTTCAGAAAATTTGATTAAATTTGTGACATTTTTATTATACTTAGAGATTTAGTTGCGCATTTCGAAGAATTCAGCATATTGTCTATATACGTTTTACTTAGTAAACATTGGGCTTTCATACAGTAAAATAAAATACCGCGACTTTTTTGCGATTTTGCTGATAAAATGAGAAAAACATTCTTGGTTTCCTCTAATTTGCCAATCAGTGATATACTAATGCGAGGTGTAAACCGCGATGGCATTGTTGTGTACAAAGCGATCGCATGAGTGCCATTAGCAGTATAGCACAATTTGGCATTAGTAGCGACTTTAGTGGTATGGGCATTGCTCGCGGATCAGTCGTAGCATTAGTAGTAGTAGTTGCGATATTACTACTGGCACTGACCGTGGAAACACTGGAACAGTGATTTTTCTTTCTTTTTTTAGAATCGACGAATTATCCTTTATTTTGTTCATATTATTTCCTCTTTAATTGAAAATAGCAATAATTTATATAAGGTCTACATAAAAAAATTTTGATCAACTGTCAGTGTCAAATACCCCACTGTGCGGCGGTTTGTTCAACATAAAAAGACTCAGGGCAAAAACATGTACATAATTGATCACAGAACTTCAATACGCTGACGACTGCGCTCTAGTTGCAAACACGGTACAACAATTACAAGAAATGTTGAACACATATACCTGGGCATACGAGGCTTTGGGCCTTAAGCTAAACATCGACAAAACTAAAATCATGTGCACTCCCTAGGAAGATCACAACAAAAGCTATAAAAATCGGAGAAAAACTATTGGAATATGTGACGGAATTCAATTACCTTGGCAGTTTGAATTCGGAAAAGGCCAATATTGACTCTGAAATTCAGCACAGGATTAGCAGTGCCTCAAGAGCATTCTGGAAATTAAAAGACAGGGTTTTCTACAATCATGACTTGAGTACAAAAACAAAACTGCAGTGTACCGAGCAATTATAATCCCCACTATGTTATATGGGAGTGGAACCTGGGTGCCATACCGCCGACATATGAACGCATTAAACAAGTTGCAACTTAGACAACTCCTAAGAATCCGGTGGTTCCATCATGTCTTAAACGTATCGGTCCTTGAAAAAGCTAACTGCGAGAGTATTGAAATCATGATTACAAAATCCCGCTTAAGATGGGCTGGTCACGTATGCAGAATGCAAGAAAACCGCATACCAAAATCTCTGCTTTACGGTGAGCTTGTAGACGGTAAGAGGAGGCTGGGTGGACAACTGAAAAGGTACAAGGATATTTTCCACGAAAACTTAAAGGGGCTTAACATGCAGAATGAGTGGGAAAAAGCAGCTCACAATAGAACTCAATGGAGGCAACAAAGCAATGAGATTTTTGAATGTCCGGAGTGCGGTAGACAGATAACATCACGTATCGGGCTTTTCAGTCACAGAAAAGCTCATGAAAGAAAACGCCTTGCGTGACCATCTTCTTTATGTGTGTCGAATACTCGTCAGCTAGTAGCGGCTGTTATGTTATGTTATGTTATTATTTTTCAGACTTACCATGTACTTCAATACCTGTTTCGCCTAAATGATGGTAGTTGGGACTGTCAAACGCATCCAGTAAGTTAGAACTGATTTTAGTAGTTCTGTTTCCTCTGAGTAGTTTGTTGGCGAAAAAGACGCAAACTTCTGGAATGTCATAACAGCTTGCAAAGATCAAGGAAGACAGAAAGTTGTCTTTGGCATCACTCCTAGTCTCGAAAATTGGAATCTATAAAACATAATCAAGAGATTTTTAATGATGACTGAAACCAATATGCATTGCCATATGTACAGGATGGCGCCTCTCATACGCCGCGGAGGCTCCAAGGAGAACGATAGTTTGTATTGAAATGAAATTTTGTGAGCATATGTAGTTTAATTCAGAGCACTATTTAAAAATATAGAGAGTTTTACAGGGTGTCCCCAAAAAAAGTTACATATCAAAGTTGTGTTTTTTGTAAGGGAACACCCTATATATTAATTGATTTTCGGATTCTGGGAGAAAAATAAAGGTGAGTTTTATAAGAAAAGTATATGACTAAAATGTAAGGTTATTGACATATTTAACATTTTCTAGAAATAAAGAACAATTTTTAAATTACAATAAAAGCTACCTAAATTGGAATTAACCCGATATAGCCTAATATGTAGTTAAATTAACTACTGTACTTTAAATCAAATTAAAACTTGATCCAAAAAGTTATACAGGGTGAGACAAAATTAGTATTGAACATTGGTCACCTTTAGAAGCATGTTACTCTTTTATTTTAAATGGAACACCCAGTACATTATCCCGATATTCAATGGAGAATTCATGTCTCTTCAAAATACTATTAAGGTTGCCTATCCCTCAAACAAAGATTTTCCTAGATATTTTCATTTACATGATTTGATCTGAGTAGATCTTAATTATTTGATAAAATCTAGGTGGCTGTGATATGGGTCTGACGTTCCTTCAACATAGCTGTCTAATTAGTCCAACTTTAACAACTAGTTATCATTTTGTGTCAGATAAAACAAAAACATTTCTCGGAAATTTGCCGAAGATGCAAACTTATCCTACATCAGAGAGATTTGATATGATACTATCAGTTGCACACTGCATTCACCAATTAATAGAATACTTAATTGCTCCTGATTTTATCTAGTCTGGGTTTTTTTTATGGGGATATGTTAAAGACAGTGTTTAGAAAACTCGACCAACTATTGTCGACAACGTGAGAGCAATTATTGTAGCTGCTTTTCGAGGTAGAACTCCACATATGCCTTTTAAAACGAAAAAATCCTTTTGAAAAGACAATCATTTTATGCAGTTAACAGGAAAGGAAGCATTTTGAGCATTTGATTTCATCTAGCTAATTTTTGTTACATAATTATTATAGGTTTATATCTAGTTTTAATTCTGTAATAATTAAAATATGTTTTAAACGTGTATCTTTTTATTACCGACAATCTTTATTTTTTGTTAAATTAACAAAAGATATATATGACACAGCCACCTAGATTTTTTCGAATAATAAAAATCTACTGAAGCAAAATCATAAAAATTAAAATATCTAGGAAAGTTTTTGTCTGGAACCTTAATAATATTTAGCAACCTTAATAATATTTTGAAGATATATAAATTCCCCATTGACCACCGGAAAAATATAATGGGTGTTCCATTTAAAATAAAGGAGTAACTTGCTTTTAAAAGTGACTAATGTTCCATATTAATTTTGTCTCACCCTGTATAACTTTTCGGATCAAATTTTATTTTGGTTTAACATACAATGGTTACTGTAATTAAATATCAGGCTATACAAGGTCAACTAAAATTTAGGTAGCTGTTATCGAAATTTAAAATTTACTCTTCATTTTCACAAAATGTAAAATATGTCAAAATCCTTAAATTTTGGGTAGATGCTTCTTTAGATAAAACACACCTTTATTTTTTTTTTTAGAATCCGAAAATCAATTAATATATAGGGTGTTTCAATAGAAAAAACACAACATTGATGTGTAACTTAGTGTGTATTATTGTGTATATATTTTTTATAAAATGCTTTCAGTTAAAATACATACGCTGCCAACATTTCATTTCGATCACAGATTTCAATATAAACTACCGTTCTCCTTGGAGCTTCCGCGGCGTATGAGAGGCGCTACCCTGTATATCACAATATAACTATATTTATTTTCTCTATTTACTACAATTTCAAATTCTGTTTAGATATGAGTATCATTAGATTTTGCAACGAATCAGTTGAGAAAGCCCAAAACAGAAAATAAATAAATTATTAATTATAAGTATTGCGCCGAATATATTTGTTTATGTTTTTGTAATAATAAATACATTCAATTTTGCAAGAGTACTCACTTGTGATCCCGTGATGATTACAGATTTTTGCAAGTTATCTAACATGAACGAAAGAGCTGAGGCTGTGTAAGCTAACGTATCCGTCCCATGCAGCACTACAAAGCCGTCAAATAATTTGTAGTTTTTCTAAAATAAAATATACTTTTTCGTATTCCTTTTCGTATTAATACAGGGTGGTTCACCACATACGACACGGAGTATTGTAGCTAAACGATGAGATTTTTACAAATTGTAAGTTCTGGGTTCGTTGAAGGACTATTAGAGCTACAATTTAAAAATATTTTTACAAGATACAGAGTGTCCCAAATAAGTAAAAAATATTATAGTTGTATTTTTTTAAATGGAACACCCTGTATATTATTCTATTTTTAGATTCTACGATTGAAATAAAGGTAAATTTCATTGAGGTTTATCACACTTATAACTTACCGTTTTTAAAATATTTTCAATTTTATGAAAATGCAGTAAAAATTTTAAGGCTTCATTTCTCCAAGGATACCGAAGTTTTTAATACTAAATATTTACTAGAGTTTATTTATTGATCAGATATTGTTTTGCAATAATAAAAATACTTCTACCTTATACAGAGTGTCTAAAAATTTATATTAAATAATTACTAGCTTTAAACGGCAATAAGTTGTTTAATTTAAATGGAACACCCTGTATATTTTACGTGAATCAGATGCACAATTTAATTGTCTATCAAATTGTACTGTACCATTTTTTACCTATCTCTTCAAGTGTTCGTATAAAATGCATTTTCTTATAATTTAGACCTCATTTATCACTATACCCATGGAATATCGATAATTTAGATTATTTTTAACGATGTAACAAATTTTCAAAATTTCAAAAACAATATTACAGATACTAATATTGTCGATAAAGTTCGCTTATTTCTTTAGGACCAATTAATATGATCCCAGTATTCAAACTACATTAATTAACCGTTTACGTTGATTAACAATAATTGCTCCATATACTAAAAAAGTATGGTAGAAAGTAACACCTTATAAATTTTATTTCATTTTTTTAAAATGCTTATTTATAACAACAGAATTGATCATTTTCATAACTTATTACTGTATTGATTTCTGAGTCAAATCCATATTCGTTTAGAATAATTTATTAATTGAAACAATTATTGAATATGTAATTAACTAATTTTTGGGCGAAAATAATGTTGGTATATTAATAATTAGTAATAATTGGTATACTATTTTACAAAGAATTAATAGTTTTCTTTTTATAAACAAATAAGCTTGCAATATTATTATTTTTACCACCTGTACATTTTGTACATAATTATGTTGCTTTAAAAAAACCTAAAATGTCAATATACCTTTAGTATAGTGATAAATAAGGTCTAAATTATAAGAAAAAGCATTTCCTACGGAAACTTAAAGAGATAGGTAAAAAATGGTATAATACAATTTGATAGACAATTAAATTGTGCATCTGATTCACGTAAAATATACAGGGCGTTTTTTTAAATTAATTTTTAAATTTTTAGACACTCTATATAAGGTAGTATAATTTTTATTATTGCAACACAATATCTGATCAATGAACAATCTTCAGTAAATATTTAGTATTAAAACCTTTAATACCCTTGGAGAAATGAAGCCTTAAATTTTTTACTGCAATTTCACAAAATTGAAAATATTTCAAAAACGGTAAGGTTTCAGTGTGATAAACCTTAATGAAATTTACCATTATTTCAACCGTAGAATCTAAAAATAGAATATTATACAGGGTGTTCCATTTAAAAAAATACAACTATAATATTTTTTACTTATTTGGGACACTATGTATCTTGTAAAATTATTTTTAAATTGTACCTCTAATAGTCCTTCAACGAATTCAAAACTTACAATTTGTAAAAATCTAATCATTTAACTACAATACCCCGTGTCGTCTGTGGTGAACAAACTTGTATACAGGGTGTTTCAAAACAAATGCGAAAAACTTCAAGGGGTGATTCCTTGTTCAAAATAAAGGGTAGTTTGCTTCATAAACGTTGGGTCAAAAGTCAACCATTAGGGAGATATCACGGTACAAAGATGGCGGAAAAATAAGGTTCTTATTTTTTATCTTGAAAACGAAAAGAGATAGACTAATGAAATTTTATGGAAGCAATACTGTTATGAAAACACACTTTCTGGTAATTTTTTCACTTTTTTAAAATGAGTGGAAGGGGTTGAAATAAACTACCCCTATCATTCTTGTTAACGTAATTTAAATAAATATCTTATCAAACACATGCAAAAAAATTAATTTGGATATTTTAGTTTGTTTAGAAACTTTTTTATCTCTTGTATTTTTTTTATAAAACTCACCGATTTGAAATTAAAAAAAAAAATGTAAAGCATTACATGTCAGCACTAAAAATATTTTTAGATTAAGAATCTAGTGATAATAATGATAATAATAATAATCTAGATAATAACGTATTGCAGTAGGGTAATGTCAAATAAAACAATATTAGAAACATCCTAAAAAGTGATAGCGGCCGACTAGATTTTTTCCTAAAAAAATTACAGCTGCCCACTAGATCCTTTATCTAAAAATGTTTTTTGTCCTGACATGTAATGCTTTACATTTTATTTTTTAATGTCAAATCAGTGAATTTTATCAAAAAAACACAAGAGATAAAAAAGTTTCTAAATAAACTAAACTATCCAAATTATTTTTTTTGCATGTGTTTGATAAGATTTTTCTTTAAATTTCATTAACAAGAATGATAGGGGTAGTTTATTTCAACCCCTTCCACTTATTTTAAAAACGTGAAAAAATTACCAGAAAGTGTGTTTTCATAACAGTAATGCTTCCGTAAAATTTCATTAGTCTATCTCTTTTCGTTTTCAAGATAAAAAATAAAAACATTATTTTTCCGCCATCTTTGTACCGCGATATCTGCCTAATGGTTGACTTTTGACCCAACGTTTATAAAGCAAACTACCCTTTATTTTGAACAAGGAATCACCCCCTGAAGTTTTTCGCATTTGTTTTGAAACACCCTGTATAATATAAGAAAAATCTCATTTAGTATTAATATGATTATTAAAAACAAAATAAAAATATTATTTATTTGCAACCACATATGTAATACTGACATTACTGACTTTTAAAAAAATTGAAAGTGTCAAATTATCTACATTTCTTCTCTCTTCCCATTTCCCTCACTCGGTCTTTCTTATTCCATAATCACCAAAAGGTATGCTTACTGCTGCCCTCCTCCCTGTTTCTAAATCCAGGAGGTTGGGTCTCTGAACAAATTTAAATAAAAATAGACTTTAAACCAATGGAAAAAGCAAAAAAAAATTTTTTTTCTAATATTTTAGTGATAAAATTTTACTTTATCATAAGTATTAGTAAACAAGTAAAACTACAAACTAACAATTAAGGAAGTACAATTAATAACTTTAACACACACTGAATTTAGACTAAAAAGGAAGAAAACAATTAGGTACTAGCTATAAGTAAACAAATAATTTTTAAACATGGTTACTGTTGTAGGAAGCAACACTCCTAAGGAGATTTTTTTGATAGTTTTTTGATCTCGGATTTGAATTAAAGTTTTTTGAGAACAATATATATATAATTAATTGTGAGTTTATAATCATCTGCTGATGATGCTAACATTGTTAGCGAAACGCGCGTCCAGTGTAAAAGTAAAAGTGTTTTGGTGTATTGTGGTGATTTAGTGTTTTTATTTTGCTGTGTAACACCAAAGGTTCCAACCCTCAACTGTAACTAAAATATTAGAAAAAAAATATTTTTTTGCTTTTTCCATTAGATTAAAGTCTATTTTTATTTAAATTTGTTCAGAGACCCAACCTCCTGGATTTAGAAACAGGGAGGGGGGCAACAGTAAGCATACCTTTTGGTGATGATGGTCGTTATTTATTATTAACAAAACTTTTTGCGCGCTTTTTACTTTGGTTGAAAAAGTTTTTTTTTAAATTTGTGTAGAGACCCCAATTGTACGTCGGCGATTTTAATTTTTATATTTTTTTGAAGCCAGTGGTATCGGCATTTAAAAAATAAAGTACTTAAAGTTTATATTTTTTTTTGACATCTTGGCCCAGGCTAACTGTGATTTGTTGAAGGTAAAAATGCTAGACTTCTTTGACTTAAAACCTACATTCTGGCATTCTAAAAAAGCGACGAGTTTGTGATATTTTCATATGTCAGTCTTTTTCCTTAATTCTAGCATTGTCCGTATCATGCTGTACGTAGCCCAAAGAGTTTTCTGCCTGGCCATGTCGCTAAAATATGCCATCAAGACTGTCTCCGAAGCAATATTCTTAGCATTTCTTTCGGCACACTATTTTTCGTATACTTTCAATGCCCCCTACTTTTTTCTGGAAGTAAACTGGCTTCTGCTCTTTTTGCAGCTTCTGTTAGTTCTGGTGGCGTACCAATATTAAAGTAGTCTTCATTATCAAAACTTTCCGACAACATTCTGTCTTTCTATGTTATATAAATTCGAAAAAGAAAACGAGAAATTGAAAACTGTCACTTAGTTGTTTGTTTTGCTGTTGAAGGTTTGCGCCATAACAACCACTGGTACCGAAAACGACAAATTTTCGCATATTTATTTTTTGTTCAAAATAAATTGTCCCAATTTTTTAATTAATGATGTGGTTGTAAATAAAATAGTATACAAACCTCGGAGGAAAGTTTTCATGATTGTCTCGAGATTTAGTTAATCTCTCGACAGTAATGAAACACTTCCCTCCATGAATACCAACTCGTGAAAAATAAAATGTACTTTATACCTTGATGTCTTGAGCTATCCTAATCCATTCCTTGGTGGACATATTACTGGAGTCTAATAAAGGAGAATATTCTTCGATTTTATATAAAATAGTGTGTTCTCCGATAGTTCTGTAAATATAAAGGTAAATTCAGAATATATTTAGAGAATACGATATTCAAGAATCAGGGAAAGAACATAATGTGCCGATTTCATTTTTAAGGTTTCTTTCATGAAGTTCTATTATAGTATATATCTAAATAATTCTGGTAATTCAAAGAAAGTAAATATTTAATACTTTACTATCAGAATATAAACAAAAATAAAATAAAAAAGTCTTTGCACCGACCCGGATTCGAACTCTGAATCATCGGTTCGTGGTCGGAAACTCTACGCACTGCGCTATGGAGACATGTTCGATTTATATTCAATACTAGAATTTATAGGACTAAATTAATAAAAAATATAGGATCTTCTTCCGATGCGCAGTAGGGAACGCAACATTTACCGGCAGCCAGACGGGCCGCATGCTGTTCTAGAGAGCATAGTAAAAGATATATCAAAGAGCCAGACGTCTCAAAATACTTGTTTTTCCGACGTTGTTAGCTCTCGTACTAATAGGATACATAGGAAAAATTTATTTTTAAAAATAGGTCATGAATTCTTTTAACATTTTTAACTATTTTCAGGTCACAAATTAGCAAAATATGCATACCTACGACTGACATTTTTAAAGTGAATATACTGGATATATCTGATTATCTGATAGTCCAGTTTCTATTTATAAAATTCAAAGATCGAACTCTAAAAATCTAATTTTAAATAGCCATAGAACTACGAAAACTATTTTGAAAACTAGCCAATACATATTATTAAGATTATTGCTTAACAATAAAACGATTGTAAACAATTTAACGATTGCTACGGTAAATTAACAAATTTATTTTGCATCAACTTACATATTTGTATTTTTTTAAAGAAATGTCTTGATTTGGTGATTTTATTTATTTTTATTATTATTATTTTTTTGAAATTGAAGGAAATTAAGAGAAATAAGTAATATTCCAATAACTATATTTATCATTATATTATAGGTACTTAAATCTACCGTATAAAATAACCATTTAAAAATAATTTTACTCAAAATAATAGATATTTACGATACAAATGAGTTAACAGCATCATTAAGATACGAGTGTAACCACGCAAGTATATTAATGGAGTTAACTCGCGTGTATTGTAAAATATTTTATCTACCTATAACTATAAAAACACACAATGAATTTTAAAAATTATTATACTTAACTATACAATATACCGGGTGTTGCATCGTCGAGCGGGACATAGGAAATCCCATGTAAATTTTAATGGGGTCAATTATTGGCTTCCCTAATTATTTTAGAGAATAATTCTATTTAGGTTTATTGAAGAGCGCTAAAACCCACATTGAAAAGAATAACTTAGATATTTTTGATTAGCCCGTTTACGAGTTATCGTCGATTTCTTTTTAAATATTTCTCCTTTCTTATGGCCCTGTATTTACTTATGAGCACCAGTCAAGGTAAAAGATAACTGCCAAATGAAGTTATCATTTCAGAAATTTATCTATTTACTGCTTTATTATTATTATTAAAAACTCATACCTACATCGAAAATATTAGCCATGAATTACACTACCGAAGAAAAAGTATTGATGATTAAATGGTATTATCAAGGAAATAGTTATCAAAAGGTGTCGGACATGTTTGCTGCTCTGTATCCGAATAGACCGATACCTGGAAAATCTACAATCGCAAGGAATATCCAGAGATTTGAGACCAAAGGTACCCTAATAAATAACTGCAGATGTGAAGCAAGGCAGGAACAAAGAGAAGATGCAAGAAATGATACCGACTTGGAAGTTTTATTGTGCGTGGAAGAGAACGATGGAAAGATCAGCACAAGGAAACTTGAGGATGAAATAGGAATAGATCACACTACAGCATTTCGAATTTTGAAACGACATAAATACTATTTCTTCAAATATGAAAAGCACCAAGATGTACGAGATGGGGACGAAATACGGCTGCAGGCGTTTTGTTTTGATATTATGGAAAGAGCAAACACGGATAGAGAATTTTTAAAAAACATATGTTTTACTGACGAATGTACGTTTACCTTAAATGATGAACCCAATGTTCAAAATTATCGATATTGGAACAAAGAAAACCAACACAGGTTTGTCGAAACAAGGACGCAATATCCACAGAAAGTAAACGTTTGGGCAGGGATATTCGGACACAATGTTATCGGGCCATTATTTCTTACGCGAAATTTAAATGCAGAATATTATTTGGAACTACTCGAAAATCATATTTTACCTGCTTTACATGATGCCGCTAGGGAAAATCAGGAAGTTTGGTACCAAATGGATGGCTGCCTGGCACATAGTACCCTGGCTGTTCTGGGTTATCTTTTACTTTGACTGGTGCTCATAAGTAAATACCGGGCCATAAGAAAGGAGAAATATTTAAAAAGAAATCGGCGATAACTCGTAAACGAGCTAATCAAAAATATCTAAAGTTATTCTTTTGTAATGTGGGTTTTAGTGCTCTTCAATAAACCTAAATAGAATTATTCTCTAAAATAATTAGGGAAGTCAATAATTGACCCCATTAAAATTTACATGGGATTTCTTATGTCCCGTCCGACGATGCAACACCCGGTATACCTATCCTAAAAATCAATTACCTTAATACCTTTGTTCAAATAACACCATCCATGGCAATGTCAATATGACAGTAAATAATATTGATGTCACTAGTTTAAAAAATGAGCGATTCGGAAAGATGGGAAAGTATTCCCTCTGACACTGAAGAAGAGGCATCCAGAGCCATTTCTGGATTGCTTCCAACAAGATCGAAACAGAAGTATTAGTATACATACTCTAAGTATGAAAAATGGTGCACCGAAAAAAAAATACACCCAACTATGGAAATGAAAAGGTACTCATAACATATTTTTCCAATTTAGTGCAAAATAAATGTTTTACAAAATATTTTTTTCTCTTTGGTAGTCACCTAAACAAGGAGTGCGGTAATGAAAATGCGTTAGTTAAGAAGCTCTCAACTCACTCAAAATGCGTGAGTTAAAACCTTCTTAACTCACTGACGTAGATAAAAATAAATTTCAACCTTCTTAACTGGAGTAAGCGCCATTAGAAAATAAAGAAGAGTAAATTACTATCGATTGTCATTCCCAGGTGTCTTTGACGCCGTTTTTTTTTTCTCGAACGTATGGTATTTATTTTAAAGTATATTTTCTAACCCTTACTAAAACCATGCAGTCTCTAATTATAAACAAAAAATAATTATTAACTTACTGTAAAATAAGTTCGTTTTCGTCCATTGGCAGTCCATATTTTTCACACAGCAATTTGTCATGCATTTCTGAATTTTTCACCTTCTTCAAAAACGTATTCGGTATAGGAATATAAACTAAAACAAAGATATTCTCTCTTAAAGTTTTATACAGGGTCGCTGATATGTATGGGAACAGTCGATTATTTAGATAAAATATAAGGAGGTACCGCAGAAAGTTAAATATAAAAGTTATAGGGTTTTGAAATATCTATTAGCGGGTAATAAATTGAGGTATACAGAGTCGGTTATAAAGTCGTGGCACATCATTTTTTTTCAAATTTTCATTTTTTTAAATAGAACCAAAAAAAATTGCACTAGTGCTATTATGAATTCATAATAACACGCAAATTTTAAAATAAGAAACACGCAAAAAAGGTACCTAAATACGTTTATTTATTGTTAACATTAATTATAATATCAGTACAATTGGTTAAATTAATTCCAGACGATGACAGGTGAGTTGAATTTTTAGAAAGTAAATTTATTTCCTGAGTGCTTGAACTTGTTGAAGACCCATCATTGCCAGAAATGTTACCCAAAATATTACATGACACTTTTTTCTTATTTTCGTTGGAATTTTCTATATAGCTCTCTGCCACTGTGTTAGAGCGCCAACCACCATGTCTTTTAACAGTTAATAAATCCACTCCTACTTGTATCATTAATAACTATTGAAAAGGTATGACATAATGTCCTACCTATTACTATCTACGAGTACCTTTAAGAAATGTGTGTAAAACCGGTGCGTAAAATTATGCTCGCTACTGTAGTAATTTCAAACCAATCAAAATTCAATTCAATCAAATAGAAATATCAAATTCTGAAGATATTAAAATATTTACTTTTTTATTTTTAGAATTTTTACAAATTATACTAACACTTTTAGAATAATTAAATATTTTTTTTCGTATACTCACTATTTATACCTATTCAGGTTTAATTTAAAAATAGATGGCATATACAGGGTGTCATTGTAATGGTGTAAAAAATGGGGGGGGTTACAGTTACAGTTAGCAACCTATCAGAGCAAATTCTTTGCCTTCAATTTTCTCGAAACCCATCACTCTGGGCGCTGTGCAACAAGAGTACCTTTTTTATAGGAAAGAAAGAAATTGCTTTATTGTCATAAAAAAATTAAACAATTTTGTTGACAAAGCTTAAAAAAAAAGAATATAAAAAACATACAAAACTTCACTTAACAATAAAAAAACATATAAAACTAACAGCAAACATACAAAACTAAAACAATACTTTATACAATTATAGAAATTGTACATTGTCAAAAATTTATTTAATTAAATATAAATAAAATATAAACATACATGTAAATATAAATAAAGGGTATGTAGTTTTCAAAAAATGAACCCACGTTGCAAAAAAAATATCCTCAAAAAAGTTATTCACGAAACAATCCCCTACCCTTGCAAAAACTACCCTTTCCGCTTTTCCAAATAATTTTTCAGTATCACCATTTGATTTAAGGTCAAAATTTATGGCAGAGGATTTTTTTTCAAAATTTTATCTCGTTTTTTAAGCCTACAATTTCAAAACAACCTTTATATTTTTGTGTTTTTTTTAATTCACCCTTTCAGAGCCCCTAACTCCCTTATTATAGGATTTTTTTTACTATTTTTAGAAGTACTATCACCCCCCGATTTTTTTACACCATTTCAATGATACCCTGTATGATAGGCATGTGTATTCAGCCCTTTTAAAAACATTTACAACTTTGCTGTAAAATTAACAGGAGAGCCAATATCTGGACAGTTCAAAATTTGCTTGCGATTTCCTGTGTTTCCAACGACTTGCCTCATGCACCACCCGGTACATGACCCGGTTTTCTTTTTTGGAACATACTGTAATTATACAGATTTCTTCAGACACAAGACGCAGTTTAATTAAAATGTCCTAAAAAGCTTCACAGGCAGTGAATTAATATTATAGATGTGTACATATTTATAAAACAATTAAGTTAAAACCGCAGTTAATAAACAATTTGGTTTTGCTTGGATCCAGTTTTAACCAGTTTTAACAACCAGCAAAGGAACTGTTTGTAGAATTCGAGCTTAATTGATTTTGGATATTTTTAAATTAACGAGAGTAAACCACATTTCGCTTTTGTTGACAAAAATTAGTAATCAAAATGACGAAATCTTGTTATTAGTTTAATACACTGGCAGTGGCGCACACAGATGTTATTTTAGTTCAAAATGTATGAATTTGGTTAAAAATTAGGCTCTTGGGTTTAAAATGGCTCCCTAAATAGCATATTCTACATTACTTTTTATTTGGCCCCTCCCTAAAATAAATTCCTGTATCCGCCCCTGATAACTCTGATTTAGATTAACCGATTTAAACAAACTAGAATTTCCAAAATATCAGCGCAAACCGCAACTTTCTATCTTGTCTCTAACCGAAGATATTAAGAAAACAATAACAAAAAAAGGTAAATTGGTTACGTCATTCATACATTCTTAGTTGGCCACCCGGTACAAGAATATTTTGTCATAATTTTTCTTTTTAGAATTTAAGTAACTTACCTCCATTTTGATTTTTTTGCATTCCTATTGTCCCACCCACGTACAAAACTAAGATTTTTTTACACTGAATCATAATTTCTATACTAATTTTGAAAAAAAAATACAAAAAAATCTAATTTCACTACGTTAAGTTACTAAGTCAAAAAAATGTAAATTTGCCAAATTCTTTAGACACGCTTGTCCTTCAAACTTAATTTGCTTGATCAAACAATGCGAAGCTAATAAAAAAATCCGTTAATGTTAAGTAAGTAACTCAGACGAGAACTATATGATACTGAATAGTGAGCGAACGTACTACGTTATTTAATATAACTTTAGTGATAAAGGCAGAAATAAATAAACTGGTCAGGTCAGTTTGAGGCAAAATTGACCAATTTTATCTTATCAACAGTCCAAGAGAATATTTTGCAACACCTTAGTTAAGCTTAGCCTAGATTTTGGAGTGTAGAGGTAAGGAGAAATATCTTCGTGCATAAAAAATAGTCATAAAGAAAGAAAGACTTAAGATGGCGCTACTGTAGCAAAAACCTAAAATCTATACTAATCTATACTAATATATAAAATCCTTAAGTGACTGACACTCAACGTAAGAAGCTCAATTTTGGCATACAGGTTGATTCTAACGTGTAGAGGTTGAAGAAGATAAGAAGGGATTTTTCGAAATTCCAGTTCCAAGAGGGTGAAACCACCCCTCAAATATTACAATATTTTTTATTTAAAAAACGGTCAAGTTTCCGAAAAAACGCTTAAACACGTATATTTTATTTTGTTTTTTACATATTTTAAGATATTTTAAAAATGTATACAGGGGTGTTTCGAAAAATCTGGTCATTGATTAATCACGATCCTGCTTAAAGCGCTTGACGTAAAAAGCTGATTTTTGAAAAACAGATTGACTTTAGGGTGTAGAGGTTCGATAAGAAGGGATTTTTCGAAACTCGAATTCTAAGGGGGTGAAACTATCCCTCAAATATTAAAATATTTTTTATTTAAAAACCGGTGAGTTTTTCGGAAAAACTCTTAAACACGTATATTTTATTTTGTTGTTTTACATATTTTAAGATTTTTTATAAATTTATACATCAGGTGTTTCATAAAATATGACCATTAAGTAATCACGATTCTGCTTAAACTGCTTGACGTTTAAAGCTGATTTTTAACTAACGGATTGACTGTGGGGTGTAGAGGTTCGATAAGGAGGGGTTTCTCGAATCTCAAAGTCCAAGAGGGTGAAAACGCTCCTCAAATATTACAATATTTGTTATTTAAAAAACGGCTAGTCTTTCGGGAAAACGGTTGGAAACGCATAATTTATTTTGTTTTTTTACATATTTTGAAATTTTTAAAAAAATCATACAGGGTGTTCCTAAAAGTTGGGTAATTGATTAACCACGATTCTGCTTAAACTGCTTGACGTAAAAAGCTTATTTTTGGGAAATTCCAAGGAGATGAAACTACCCCTCAAATATTACCAAGTTATATAATAATATCGCCATATTGTTTTTTCTCATGCTGACATAAATGTGAGAAAATTTTATCCAGTTTGTATGTAATGGTAATTCTTGCTTTGCTTTATCTTCACCATTACAAATGATTAATTCGACGCAAACGAAATCGCTGATACACTCTAGTATACCCATAAAATATCTTGTTGCTACATCTTTCCATTTGCGTATAATCAACCGAGGCGAATGAGGTGCGCCACCCTGTATATTGTTTTGAGACGCAAAATAGAATAAAGTGTTAATGACTCGACCAGTGTTAATTCTGTAACTATTCCTTGAAACAAAGTTATTTTCATATATTTTACAACGAAAGTCCAAGGATAAATATAAAAATAAACATAATAGAGACATATTATTTTCTGCTGTTGCATAAAATTTTGTCTAGAAATAGTTATATTTCAAAAAACAGTCGGTATAGAATATATATGACTCTATAGTATTTTCGGAATGGGAAATCCACTAAGCTAAAAAATATATACTTAGTTTTGCATCAGTTGTCTGTTATTTCACTGTCAGAATGGAATACCTAGTAAACGAAATGTACAGGGTGATTCAAACTTGGAGCCTTGAGATAATAACAGAAAAATGTTAAACAAAAATGCAAATATTTTCTATAGAATACAGAAAATACTGGTTAAGAAATATTTATTGGTACATATCTCTCTTCAAAGTTTTTAAAAATGACAAATGTGACGTTATCAAAAACTGTTTTTTGTCTGAAACTATACAGTTTTAATATAAACATGTTTTAATTAAACACTTTCTATATAACAAGCATTTATATATCTCTATCTTGTTTTCTATTCTCTAAATTTCCTTGGGTGAATACCCAGGGCGGCAAATTTGAATCACCCTGTACTATGTCTATGAATAATTAGTTGGGTCTTAATTTAGAGAATGTTATCATTAAAAATAAACTTGGCAAGGATATTGGACAGGTTTGCTTTTTGATGATAATTCTACTATATATTTTCTGTTATAGTTGTGTGAAATAAATAATATTACTATGTATAAAAGCACTGTAAAATACCGAGAATATATATTGTATCTTGAAAACATTAAACTTTAGTTCTAGAGTATTTAAGCATAATATATTTAATGTATTTTCGCCAAATGTTTGGAATCGTATAGATTTATAATTCATGGCACGCTTAAAATACCGTATGATCTAGAAAAAACGGCGTCGTAGACGGCTGAGAAATGACAATCGATGATAATTTTGGCGAGATCTGCCGACACACTCCTTAAAAACCGTTGACGTTCTGATATTTTTGAGTTAAAAAAACGTGTACAATATAGATATACAGAAAAGTCCACAGACCTCGAGACAGGAAAATCAAGTCCATTTAGCGTGTGTCCAAATTTTGACAAGTTTTCAAAAATGACAGTTTTGTTTAGACTGGCGTTTAATTTCACCTGATCTCTCGGTGAATGATTTCTTTTTATGGGGGTACATAAAATCTAAAATTTACGGCCATGAAGAAATTCAAAACTTGGAGCAGTTAAGGCAGAAAATATGTAATGCCTTTGACACTGTCACCTCTGATATGTTATCCAATGTGAGCAGGGGATTTTATGATCGCTTTGGTTATTGTTTAATGCAAGAGGGAGGCATTTTTGAACAATTTTTGTAATTTTTTAAATTTCAGTATCCTGTTTTTTTACCGTTTACCCATTACCTACCTTGACGAACATGGGAAAACAAAGGTCCTTTTCAGGACCACAAATATTTTGATTGAGAAATTTGTTACTTATTTAATACGTTATTTTTTAATAAAAAAAAACAATAGTTGTTAATATAATATCAATTTAAAAGTGTTTTAGTAGTTTTAATACACACTATGATATAAAATTTATTATTATTATAATGTACATTATTAATACTATTATTCATTCGAAATGACATTAAGGCCCAATTACACCAATGATTTAAATTTTCCTTAAAGATAAGTAGAGCTTAGAATGAGCTGTATTTATATTTACTTAAATATTCACCTTAAATGAGGGAATTTGACTGATACAATTTTTGAATTTGAATTGTTTTTAATGATACTAACAATTTTAGTTCAATTTTTAATAAAATTTATTTAATATCAATAGAAATCCAAGAGATTTGAAACCTCTTTTAGCGATTTATAACATTCTCAAATGAATTACAGGTGCCCTTATTTTCTATGAAAACCACACAGCTTTTTTCATAGTCGCTGCAGTTGCTATAGCTATAAAAAAAATATTTTTTAAGGTGTGAAAATTGCGACACACGCTAAATGGACTTGATTTTTCCTATATCTCAAAGTCTGTGGACCTTTCTGTTATAATATACAATATAGATACAAGCAAAAAATAGTTTGTTTTCAGTGCAATTATATTTTATTTTTAATTTATTTCTGTGCGAGTCTAATAGTGGAATTGTTAAACTTAGTTTCTTGGCGATGACTATCAAAAATATTTATAAAATTTACAAAGAAATTATCGCAAATTAATCTGTCGTCCCGCGCGAAACTCTCCCGCGTACCTGACGCACCAAATTTCCGCGGAAAATTTACACGATTTTCACACGAGTTTTCTCAATGAGCTCAGGCAGTACGAATTTGCGCGCCTTAAGATAACTATCTGAAAAATGTCAACGATCACAGACGAGTTTTTCCGGTAGTACAAAGTCAAAAAATTAAAAAAAAAGTTTTTTTTTTGTGAGTGGAAAATTTAGAGAAAATTTAAGGAAAATGCAGCGGATACTCAGCGTGGAAACTAGTAGAAGAGCGGGTGGAAACTCTTCAGAGTTCGTTACAAAAAGGCTATGTTGTAGTTTTTTGTTGACGGTGGCATTTTTCGCAATTTTAGGAGGTAAGACATATTTTTACAGGAACGACATGTCCGACATTATCACTGGAATATTTCTCTAAAAAAGCATGTACGCCACTGATTTTTTTTCTGTTGTTAGCGAAATAGTGTAAGCAGTTTAATGCCGATTAAAAGTTGTCTCTTGATATTTTGTCGATTTCGGCCTCCTTGATGAGATAAACGCAATTTTACGCGTTAATTTGTCTTGATCCAATAAGTCTAATAGCAACCTTTAAAAAAAATTAAAATCATTAACTAAAAAAGTTTTAAATAAATACTCATTGATTCCTCATCAAAAAATATGAAGAAAAGTTCCTAAACATGGGTATAGATTTAGAGTTACAGGATGTTAAAATTTTTTAAAACTAGGTTTTTGGTAATTTTCTTAAATACCATTATTTTTTAATTTGAAATTGCCGTTGGTTGGACTAATAGTAATAATAACTAATAATAATAATATTTAATAATAAATTAGGTAAAATATATAAATTAATTTTATTTTTATTTTAATTTTATTAATTCAGATTAATAAAATTGCGTTTATCTCATCAAGGAGACCGAATTCAACAAAATATCAAGAGATAACTTTTAATTGACATTAAACGGTATACACAACTTTGATATCAAAAGAAAATAAGTCAGTGGCGCACATGTTTTTTTTTAAATATATTCCACTGATAACCCATATGCACGTCTCTGCTGAATTTATCGACACTTCTCTAGCATTAAAATATGTAGCACTTATAGTAATTTTTACCCTCAAAATTCCATTCGAATCATTAAAAGTTCTTGGAATAAAATTATAATAAATCGAAAGATTATTAAGATTTTAACACCCTGTAGCTACGAATTAAAGCAGAATCCGACCTATGTTGATATGAAAAATAAATCTTATTTTACGCCAAGAATCTCCACAAGACAGATGGCACATGTTTTTTTCGATAATAATTTTGACGAGGTCAAACTCTGGATGTCTTTTACTAAAAATTAACACACAAAACTAATCAATAATTAACACTAATTATAGAGAGATTGGAAAGGATAGAACGTTCCCAGACACAAATCCTCACAAAATTAAAAAAATATATAAAAATACAAGCTTAAGGCCAACTGACAGCAAAAGCCGTTAAAAAAATAAAGACACCATTTTTTTTGATCGTAAAGGTATGAGTTTGCGGAAAATATATATTATTTAAGAAACAGTTTATACCATAGGTTCATACTATACAAAATAGTCTATAAAAAATAATTCAGTATGTTTTTTTTTTCATTTTCCAGGTTTTCTACTTGGGAAATTTGTAGCTGACCGTTCCTTGGACCAGCTACGGCTCGAACTCAGCGACATTTCTCGCAAAATCACTCAGCTCAATGAAAACCTAGGTCAAACATTCCACCAAGGCCTCGATAACACATTCAGCGGAAATTATTCCTTTCTGCAATGCAATTTCACGCACATCGGCAACAACGCCTCCGGCTTGCTGCAACCTGGGATCTACCTGAACGATTTAAATGGATGCTTTAATAATGGATGACCATGATAGATGGAAGGAGCTGATGGTAAATTGATTTTTGGTGAAATTTTGGGCACAGGAACCAAAAAGATGTTGTTAGAGTGAAACGCGAATATTATTGACAAAAAAAAGTGTTTTTAGATTAATTTTATTAAGTACTTAATAGTTTTTTAATTGTCTGAATTGATAAATGCTGGATGTTTTTGTTATTAATTTATTGGTAATTGTGTAGAAAGTGCAAAAGTTATATTTCCACCAAGGTTTTTAAATCAACGATATTTTCATAATTTCTTCGGATTCTTTATATATCTATTACTGTACAGGGTGATTCAAAACTAATACATGACACCACAAAGTCAAGAAAAATTTAAAATTTTCAACAATTTTTTTCGCAAGAAACACTCAGGCCGTGTTTCTGGGGTCGAAATATACTACCAGTTAAAATATCTGCACTTATTTCTGAGACACACTGTATAGCTTCTTGTCCCATCTGCCAATCAGAGATTAAGTAAATAGGACGTCGAATGACGCCTAGGGTGTGTCAAAATATAAGAATTATGTTTTCTCTTTTTCTTAATTTAATACTTAAAAAACGTCCACCACTTTTAGGAGACACCCTGTAACGCTTAAATTATTAAAACCTTAATAGGTATGTACAGGGGGGATAAAAATATATTATTTTTTTGTTAGAATGGGCATAATCAAGAGGGTTACTGATACCAAGAACAGTAAACCTAAAATAGGTAAAAAAACGGACATAAATGACATAAATTAGGATTGATTGACGTACTGAATTGTTTTCGGTTACTTCCTGTTTCACCGGAAATAACTACAACTTTTGATTTTTAAATGGCACCCTCGGTATTTTTTTACTTTATTCGATAGAAAATGACACTCTGAATCGAATGACATACTATCATTTGTCATTATTATTTTGAGGGTCTCAAGGATTCAAAATATTTACAGGATGTGTCTTAGATAAGTGCCAATATTAATAAATTAATATAATTTATTAATATTCCGGATTTTTTCTGTATTTAAATCCCTTTTAGTGTCGTAACTATATATAGAGTAAAGCTGTAACCATAGTAATACCGTATGATCGAAAAAAAACGGCGTCCAGTTGGCTTGGAAATGAACATCAATGACATTCCACTCTGAGGACATTCCCCATTTAATTTTACATGTAAAATGACAACGATTTTCATTTCATAGCCATCGCTGACGCCGTTTTTTTTTCAATCGTATGGTGTGTCAGAAATTAAGAAATTATACGGTGGGAAAATTTGCGTTGGACGTGCAGTTCTAAAAAGTTTTCTAAAATATACACAGGAAATTTTAAAAGAAAATGCAGGATTTTCAACGACTTTTTTGTACAAAAAGCCTCATAGACGTGTTCCTAGGGTCGACATATACCACCCCTAAAAATATTTACACTTATTTAACAATCACCCTGTATAGGATTGTGTTTTATAACAATTTATTAAAAAAAATGTTGAAAATTTTAAATAAATACCCTGTATATTTCTTATTCATTCCATATGCCGCTTTTTTTAATTAATCACTCCTTTTATTGTGACTCCCCCTGATTTATAACACAGATAACATTAAAACAATTTATAATAAAAATAACCGTTTTTTTTTCATGGCATACACAATACTATAATTCGCCATTGGTCCAGTATTGTGTAACATAATATACCTGAATTGCTATTTACTATATAAGTATTATTGCCTAAACAATTAATTTGAATAGAAAAACATACTGATTGGAGAAAAAAATTGGCGTTGTCATTCACCATGTCCAGGCCAACTTATGTCTCTAACGAACGGGTTATGCGAACACTCTGTTTATAATATATCGTTATACCATGCTATATTCTATCAGCACAGCTATAAGAAGTATATGAGTAAAAAGGCATTTTTAGAAAACGCAGAATTTCTTCTTGACGAAATGGTGAATGCGCCTATTAAAAAATCTTTTAAAATTCTTGAAATTGACAGGCTTAAAAAATGTAAAAGTTAAACTGAGGTAACATAAATTCTGATAATAATATTAGTAATTAGCGGTATTAAGATAAGTAATTACGGTATGTATGCATGTATTTTTATATAATTTAATGTAGAATTTGATTGATATATTATGAACTATACCGGATTTTTTAAATGTGGTTCACTCCTATGACTTGTTTATCTGGCTCTTTAATTAAAAATTAGTCGTTACAGCCATGGCACTCTAGATTGAAATATTTTGAAATATATCAAATAAATATATTTCTATCAAATAGTCATACTCGCCAAGTTTAAAACAAGGACTTAAAATATGTACAGAATGTGTTTTAAATAAGTGCCAATATTAATAAATTAATATAATAAATTATAAAAAATGTTGAGATCCACCAGATTTTTTCTGTATTTAAATCTCTTATTTTAGTGTCTTAACTATAGAGATAGAGTAAAGATGTAGCCATGGTAATACCGGTTGATCGAAAAAAAAACGGCGTCCAGTTGGCTTGGAAATGAACATCAATGGCATTCCACTCTAAGGACAGTCCCCATTTAATTTTACATGTAAAATGACAGCGATTTTCATTTCATAGCCATCGCTGACGCCGTTTTTTTTTTCGATCGTATGGTATATCAGAAATTAAGAAATTATACCGTGGGAAAATTTGCGGTGGACGTGCAGTTCTAAAAAGTTTTCTAAAATATACAGGAAAATTTAAACGAAGACGCACGATTTTCAACAACTTTTTTGCGCAAAAAGTCTCATAGACGTGTTCCTGGGGTCGACATATACCACCCCTAAAAATATTTACACTTATTTAACGCTCACCCTGTATAGGACAGTATTTTCTAACAATTTATTCAAAAAAACTGTTGAAAATTTTAAAGAAATCCCCTGTATATTTCTTATTCATTCCATCATGCTTAGCATGACGCTTTTTTTTTTGACTCCCCCTGATTTATAGCACACATAACATTGTGTTTTAGCACAGAATTGAGAATTATTCTTTATACTGTGGTTTTACTATGTTATCTGTGACTGTAGTAATTTTTTTGAAAGTAATCATAAACAGTAGTCAATATAAAACTAATAAAAATTGGAGGTAACTAAGTTATTGAGTTTTTAGCGAAATACCAACTTTTTATATGAATATTTCTATTTCTCAAAATAATTTTTATCTTGTTGGTTATCTTAATGTTTTAAAGAATCTTTAAGAATCGCATAATATATTAAAAATTAATTTATTCAAATATTTGCTTTGTTAAAGGCTTTATTTAACTCTAAAATAAGAATATTTAGCAGCTTTTTTGACCAAACTTATAAATTAATGCTTTAATTTTACGTTCATAGATGGCGCACCTTAAATAATTACCCGCAAACAGATTCCTATATTTTATATCTTTAGCGCCACCTATGTTGCAATAGTGATACTAAAAAAATATTGCAGCCACATCTGTTTATTACTTTCTGAACTAACGCATAATCTAGTGCCCTCTATATATCAAAAGCTAAACTAATTCTGCGTTGGCGCCATCTATGGGAATTTCTGAGAACTTATTCTCTGTCTCTGTCTAAGTTTTCTCTCTCGCACTCGTTGCATAAGTTTATCCTTTTTTAGCGCTTTCTCTGTCTCTCTCACACTCATTAAAAAATTCTTGCCGGTCGTTTTGGGACATAAACAAAGTTGATATAAAAAAATTAACATTTATTTTTATAGAGGTAAATATCGCAGACAAAGGATAAATATATAGTTATGTAATACACAAGCACATCTACAGTACTTGAGAATATCGCAGTTGATGGAAAATGGGTATTTACACAATAATAAGAAAAAAATCATTCCTTTGAATTTGAATGTTTATCTCATGTAAGAGTTCACTTTCTCCTCATTTTTTTTCATAAAGTTGACTCAAAATTCAACACTCACGTAGTACACACTATAAAATATAAAACATAATACTATTCATTGCAATGTCGTAATTATGTCTTATAAAAGATTTGAACTGTAGAGGTACATAAGTTTAATATAAAGTCATTTAAAGGTTTAATACACATTTATTACAGCATATCTATATCTTTTATTGTTTTATAGGGATCATTCTAATACTTACAAAGGATTCTGGGCTATAATAAAATGCAATTTTCGTAGAACAGTATCTTTTAAGGACGAATGAAGTTACGTAGGAAGACTGTTGTAGTTTAATAGAACTTTATCGGGATCAGTCAATCATTGATTCAGTTTAAGGTAAGTAAAAGAATGTAAAACCATAGTTGAAGCAATTTGTTTTCAGTATAATCATCATTTATTTCAGTCGTAGTGAAGTTGTTAATTAAAATTAATTCTAGTATCTTGGCAGTATCATTTATTCAAGCTAATTACTGATTTACTATAATATTTTCTTACTTTATTGACTACCTTTATGTAATTGCTCGAATGCTGTAATTATAAATATATATAATGACCTTTCTTTAATATTTATTTTTAAATTTGTTTATGTCTATGACGATCTTAATACTTATTAATATTTTTTTAATTTCACAGGATAGATATAAAATTGGAGTCATTTTCTATGGACACAAGGAAGAGGGCAAAATGCTACATAATATCTTTACAAAATTAACTGAAATCATCCCGGAATTATTTGTATTTGCAAATCGAATGATGGACCATCAAACAGGTAAAGATTTCTTACTTTTATTACAATATAAATAAACAGTTGCTTTGTGTAAATGTGGAAAAAATGCATCATAAATCTATGATAATATTTTAGTGATAAAAATAACATATATTTAGTATTGCATAATTGCATTACTTGTAAATTTGTATTTGAAAGCACACTTAAATACAAATACATTCAATTTGCTTTACATATAACGTGTATTGTTGGTTGCATATACATTCAGGAGTTTAAAAAAAAGTATTTCCAGAAAGTATAATTTATTAAATATTTCTTTAAATTTTTATGATTTAATCTATTTCTTTAAAAGTTAGATATCCAACCCAAGCCAACTGTGTATTATATGTATATCTATTTTATTACATAAAAACAACATGAATTATTTAAGTTAAATATCTTAACTTACAGACCAGAGCAACTACCTATTTCATAGTATGGTGAAGAGTAATATAAGGAAAATTATTAAATGTTATTTATCCTTCCCTCCATTTTCCATATTAAAAAAAACTCTTATGTTATTATTTAGATACTATAGTATCTTTATTTGTAGGACTCCATAATTATTAAGGGTTGTCTAATGAAATGGTTAATGGAATAAGAAACAGTCAAAGGACAATGATTGGCTAATTGTTTATTCAAACAGCAGAAGATATAGTGCAAACATTGTTGAACAAGTAACTACAGGTAAATATTCTGTAAATATTACTGCAAAAAACAGTGAAATAAAAATAACCGTTTTTTCATGGCATATACAATACTACCGTATGATCGAATAAAAACGGCGTCAGCGATGGCTTTGAAATGAAGATCGCTGTCATTTTATATGTAAAATTATATGGGAAATATCAGCGATTGTCATTTCCCATCCAACTGGACGCCGTTTTTTTTCGATCATACGGTATAATTCGCTATTGGTCTAATATTGTGTAGCATAATATACCTGAATCGTTATTTACTAAGTATTATTGCCTAAACTATGAATTTGAATAGAAAAACATACTGATTGAAGAAAAAAATTGGCGTTGTCATTCACCATGTCCAGGCCAACTTTTGTCTCTAACGGACGAGTTATGCCAACACTCTGTTTACTATATTCTATCTTACTATATTACTACGTACCATGCTATATTCAGCACAGCTATAAGTATATAAGTATAAAAAGCATTTTCAGAAAACGCAGAAATTCTTCTTGACGAAATGGTGAATGCGCCTATTAAAAAATCTTTTAAAATTCTTGAAATTAAAAGGCTTAAAAAATGTAAAAGTAAAACTGAGGTAACTCTTCTTTTATCCTCTTCTTAACTCTTCTTTTTGTAACTCTTCTTTTGAGGTAATAAATTCTGATAATAATATTAGTAATTAGTGGTATTAAGATAAGTAATTTCGGTATGTATGTATGTATTTTTATATAATTTAATGTAGAATTTGATTGATATAATATGACCTATACCGGATGTTTTTTGTGGTTCACTCTTATGACTTGTTTATCTGGCTCTTTAATTAAAAGTTAGTCGTTACAGCCATGGCACTCTAGATTGAAATTTAAATTACTATTTTTTAAGAGAAAATGTCAAAAGCTTAATTTTATTTGGAATGTAATTTTCTATCAAATAAATATATTTCTATCATATTGTTATACTCACCAAGTTTAAAACAAGACCTTAAAATAATATATGTACAGAACGTGTCTTAAATAAGTGCCAATATTAATAAATTAATATAATAAATTATAAAAAGTATTGAGAGCCACCAGATTTTTTCTGTATTTAAATCCCTTATTTTAGTGTCGTAACTATAGAGTATAGCTGTAACTATGGTAATACCGTATGATCGAAAAAAAAACGGCGTTCAGTTGGCTTGGAAATGAACATCAATGGCATTCCACTCTGAGGACACTCCCCATTTAATTTTACATGTGAAATGACAGCGATTTTTATTTCATAGCCATCGCTGACGCCGTTTTTTTCCATCGTATGTTATATCAGAAATTAAGAAATTATACCGTGGGAAAATTTGCGGTGGACGTGCAGTTCCAAAAAGTTTTCTAAAATATACAGGAAAATTTAAAAGAAAATGCACGATTTTCAACAACTTTTATGCGCAGAAAGTCTCATAGACGTGTTCCTGGCGTCGACATATACCACCCCTAAAAATATTTACCCTTATTTAACACTCACCCCGTATAGGACTGTGTTTTATAACAATTTATTAAAAAAAATGTTGAAAATTTTAAAGAAATACCCTGTATATTTCTTATTCATTCCATCATGCTTAGTATGACGCTTTTTTTTTAATTAATCACTTCTTTTATTGTGACTCCCCCCGATTTATAGCACACATAACATTGTGTTTTGAGAATTATTCTTTATACTGTGGTTTTACTATGTTATCTGTGATTGTAGTAATTTTTTTGAAACTAATCATAAACAGTAGTCAATATAAAACTAAAAAAAATTGGAGGTAATTAAGTTATTGAGTTTTTAGCGAAATACCAACTTTTTATATGAATATTTCTATTTCTCAAAGCATATTAAATGCCATATACTTTAGAGTTGTTCATTATTGCACACTATTTAAATTAATTTTTATCTTGTTGGTTCTAATTAATGTTTTAAAGAATCTTTAAGAATCGCAGAATGTATTAAAAATTAATTTATTCAAATATTTACTTTACTTAAAACTCTAAAATAAGAATATTTAGCAGCTTTTTCACCCAACCTTTTAAATTAATGCTTTAATTTTACGTTCATAGATGGCGCACTTTAAATACTTGCCGGCAAACAGATTCCTATATTTTATATCTCGAGCGCCACCTATGTTGTAATAGTGGTACTAAAAATTATTGTAGCGACATCTGTTTATTACTTTCTCAACTAACGCATTTTCTGGCGCCCTCTATATATCAAAAGCTAAACTAATTCTGCGTTGGCGCCATCTATGTGAATTTCTTAGAACATATTCTCCGTCTCTGTCTTTTTTAGCGCTCTCTCTTCTCTATCACACTCATTAAAAATTCTTACCTGTCGTTTTGGGACATAAACAAAGTTGATATAACAAAAATTAACATTTATTTTTATAGAGGTAAAAAATGTTAATATGATGTTAATACATAGGCAGACAAAGGATAAATAGGATCTGGTACCTTTTAGGTACATCAAAACTTTAAAATTTTCTATACAGAATTGAGAAGAGGAACACTTATAATGACATTTTCTAACAAAAAGTTTTTAAAGTGATTTTAATCCTCCATAATTCCCAGTCTTTTAGAATAGCATGACAAATACAGACATTCAAAAATCAAAACAAAATTTTTATTGATGTGAAAAAAAAGTTTCAAAAACAAGACTAAAAAAATAAATTCTAGTAGATCTTTTCCTGGCTAATGTATCTGAAAATTATAATAACTATATGTGTTTACCTTTCCTAAAATTAAACAACGAGAACAAGACATTAGCAAATGCGTAGTTTAAAAAAAATGGGAATGACAAAGAACTTTATGTAATACTATATATCAAAAACATATTATGCACGAGAACCCATAATTTTAATAAAGGATTTTTCAGTTTAATTAAATTTCAAATTTGCAAATTGTGGCGTCAAAAGTTGAACAGATACATCCGGTAAGAGCTGTCAACGTTGAGTCAAGTTAAAGACTTTTGAAGTTATTTTTTTACAATTTTTTTATATAATTTGTCTCATATTTCTTACTATTTAACTATATAGAATTAGTTTCTTATAAAACTAAAGGATATTTATTGAATAAAAACACTTGTTTCTTAATAATTTATTAAAATATTAAAGAAATGCATGATTTCATAGTTTATCTAATTATGTGCGTACCAGATAATTTCAATATAAAATAAGTTTTGTATGATATTTTATATATATATACTGGAGGGAATAAATACAAATAAAAACAAATCTTTTAAATAATTTAAGAAGCATTTCTACTGAAATTTTAATAAAAACCATCCATGTTTATTAAAAAAAAGCTAAAATCGAGGCATCCAAGAGCAAAAAATACTCGATCGTGATTGGTCAGTTTCGGTCACGTAGAGATTTTGAATTTTATTCTCGTTCGATGTTGTCGGATTGTTAAAAAATGCCGAAAATCTTTTTCTCTGTATGATTTTTGTGAAATTATATTAGTTTAAATTGATCACTGGCACGATAGTAAGGGCCATTTCTATATATTTTTAATAAAACAAGTACTAGTAATGTTGTTTTGTAGAAATTTCTTTTATTTCTTCTTGTAACTACGTACTAACATTATAGTCTTTATTCTTGGTTTCGATGTATCTATAGCATTAAAAATGTATTTAAACAGCTTCATTTTATGTTTATTTCATGATTTTTGTGTGTTTATGTTTATAATTACTTATTTGTTTCTTATTATTTATGACAATAAATGTTTTACCTTACGTAAAAAAACGATATCAGTGGAACGTATTGAGTAAATAATAACTTTTGAAAACAAAATTAAGCTTAATTTAGAAGAATTTTCCTATAAACAATTTTATTAGTAATAAATAAATTAATTTTATGAGCAGCTTAAATTTTACGAATGACTTCAATCTGGCAACGCCGGTCCTCCTTTTGTCGTTTGCAATCGAAGGATCCGCACGTCCTCTCGTCGGTTGCATGGATTTTTTAATTTTCTCACGAAAAAGTGCGTTTAGTGTACACAATTTATGCGTAATCTGTTACTAGTGCCCTGCTTAGCCTCCTGAAAAAGTGAGTACCCATAATTTTATGTATTTTTTGGGATATTTTAGTTTAAAATTTTTGGATTTCGCAATATCCATCATGGCTGCCTTCTTCTCAATGTTCCCCATTAAGTTATTAATTTTTAAGAATATTGTTTAAATAATATACGTAGATTAATAAATAAGTATGTAAAACTATGTATTTTCGATACTTTGTATACTGCGTGTTGCATAAGGGTAAAATAGTACTACGTTTTTGGTAAATTACGTAATGTATCTTTGATTTTTTGTTTAATTTTTTCGGTCAAGGAATGTTTAAATAAAATGGCCGCCTGTTGAATTCGATGTCTTGATTTTTTCTAAATTGCTATTTTTAATTTAAATTTCTTTTTATAGGACATACTTGGAGTTTTCTTTATTTTTAAAAATATAATATGGGGCGCATTTTAATAATATTTTGAATGAGTATATAGGTTTTTTGTATTTACGTTTTAAATAGGTAGGTTCATTAGGAATTTTATTACGTATTTTTTTTATTTAAGAATCCTACATATATTAGGTTTCAGCATTTTCTATTTTAAAATATATTTCTTTTTTAAAGCGCGTTATGTAATATTACATGTTAAAAAATAGTATTAATGTTGACAAATGATTTTTGCTAATTCAGTATTAGTTGTAAATTTGCATTGAAGAAATAAATCAATTGTTATTGAATTTTTATAAAAATTAAAATATTTCAAAAACAGTCAGTATGATTTTGAGGTAAATTTTGATCGAACGTTTTTGTGTCCTCATAGTAGAAACTAAAAATGTAATAATATATATAGGATATCTCATTGTTAAAAAAAATATAACTTTAATATTTTTTATTTATTTGAAACACTGTAGGTTTAACTTTTAGCTCTAAATAATATGTTACAACTCTAAAAACACCTTGTGTATTTTTATTTTTTTATGTGTTACATCATGGAAATTCTTTGAATTTTGACTATATTCATTAAATTTATATTCTTTTTTTCTATGTCATATAACATCTTTATATTTTTGACATTTTTGGTATAATAATGAAGGAAAAATCTTATAAAATATTGCTGAGGAGCATCTCTTTTTTCATTTAA